ATTTAATCTTTGCATTGGATGGCTAGTTTCAGCAATCTTGACACAGTTAAGGATGTGGTACAAACTGAATGGGGAGTCCACTTCCAAATCAAGCCATAGGTTGGAACACAATCATTACTTCCAATCAGCTCACTGGAATAGAGGACACTGACTGATGCTAAAAGCACACTCAGACTACATTATAACTAAATCTCCTTTAAATGCTTAGGATGGATCTTTAAACCATCAGTAGTTTACCAGAAACATTTCCCTTGGGTTCCTAAGCAAGCCCCAAGGATTGTTGTTAGCTCATTGGGTGCTGATGCCAGACAAAAAGATAAGCTTTCAATTGAAACTAATTGCTACTATATATGAAACAGAGGATTGGATCCTGATTGGGATATGAGGAGGCCAACTGACTACGTACAGTCATCCAGCAAAATGACTTCAATTAATTGACTAATATTTCCTTCTTAAAAGCTTTGCTATCTATTGGAACTATTCTGAGATCCAAGGTTCAAAATAGTTCTATTATCTTTACTTTATTTAGGCACCATCAATGAGAACCACAATTGAGAAATCCTCTTTTAAGTGTATGCATTCTGTTATGCTCATGTCCCACAAATGCTTTATTTACCTTTCATTCTAAGATGAACTTGAGATGGCATAAATCTGCCTTTTTTCTGAGTTCTACATTCCTGCAACTCATCAGCCACCATCTGCTCTGGCAAGTGTATTTTCCAGTGTGGCAAAACGTCTAGTGCTGCAGGTCTATCTGATAAATAAAGGTGTCATATTGAGGGAAATTTACTTCGGTTCTTGCCTCTTCTGCCTGGTTACTGGGTGGGTATTACAGATATTGAACCTGGGAGCCCAAATGTATGCTTCCTCATCTACTTCCTGTTTGGAAGAAGATAGGGGTTTTGATTTTATTAAAAGAGGAGTCAGTGCTTTCCTTATGCCTTCTTTTCTATGTCCTGAGTGCTATAGGTAAAACTTCTAGTCCAGTCTGATTACCTCCCTGAACAGCTTCTCTTAAAAAAAATTAGTCTCTATTCAGAAGATGATAGCTGGAAAATATTTTCAATGCATTCTCAGCCTGTGGGCAGATCATAGAAACAGAGAACCTTCTCCATTGCAAAACTGAAAATAAAAATGATGTTGCAATGTTTTTTCACTCCTTTGGTTCCTTCAAAGCAGGGGTCTTCAAACTTGGCCCTTTTATGACTTGTGGAATTCCTCAGCCAGCTGGGAGTTGAAGTCCACAAGTCATAAAAGGGCCAGGTTTGAAGACCTCTGCTCCAAAGGAACCTGCTGTTTTTTCATTCCTTTGGCTCCTGCCTCCAAATAGGCAGACGATGAAAGTCCATCAGAGCCTCTGGATGGGCTTTTGGCTGTGAAATGGCAATTTCTCTACAAAGAGATATGGACCTCTCTTGCCATATTATTTAGCTCTGGGAAAAGCATAATGGAATTCCTACGCCCTGTACAGAAATCAGGACCAGTCAAAATGACCCAGGCCTGGGCCACTATGTCAGCTCATACCACTCTAGGACTTTTCTTGCAACTGTTTTTTTTTAACACAACTCCACGTTCAGTTTTTGGTTCCTCTACCATCATTCTCTTGGTGGGAAAAAAGGAGATTGAGTTTATTTTTCCTCAGGCTTTTGAAAGTTGGATGATGTCAGAGTACTCTTTCTGACCTTTGTCCTAGAAACTCTTGATATCCTTTACATCTCCTGCCAACTTGCCTATTTGCTTTGGTAGTGACCAATTCATAACTGGCTTCAGTTGTCTGGCTAGCTGACCTGGCTTTATCTTCTTGTGTTTGTAACTCCCCAAGATTTGGGGGAAATGTTCTTTGCATCTGCTAAAAAGCCACCAAAGCTGATGTCACCTGAAGCCTAGTCTGCTGAGAAGGGAAGATTTCTGGGAAGTCTTCAGCACTGCCGTATTGTGGATAGGCTCAAAGCCCCCATGCTCTACTGTGCCACATATGAAAGTCCAATTTGGATTCTTCCCTCATCTCCTTGACTGTTCTCCTGCCCTGGCCATCTGAGATACTGTCTCCTGCAAATATATTGATCAGTGGGTATATGGCTGACAGGAAACACTTTCCCACAGAATCAGAGTACTGGCCGTAGACAAAAGCCATTTCTTCCTCCAGAAAGCAGAACAGAAAAGGAGGGAATGTCTCTCTTGGATAGGAAGAAAGTTTAAGCCAGTATTTCTCAACCTGTGGCTGCCTGGAGAATGCTGGGAGTTTGTATCCTCAAGTTGCCAAGTTTAAGAAACACTGACTTAAGTCTTACTTTCCAAGGAGAAGTTGAAGGGGGTCCACCTTACTCATTTTAATTTTACATTCTTTCAAACTTTTGCACCTCTGGTATTATTGAGCCAATCCTTGCCCCACACTGGCTATTGCTGCTCCAGTCTCAGTTTGGATGCTAATCACTTTAAGAAGAGACTGAACAGCCACTGGTCTGAAATGGAATGGGTCTCCTGCTTGAACAGGGAGGTTGGGCTAGAACAGTGATGACGAACCTTTTAGAAACTGAGTGCCCAAACTGCAACCCAAAATCCACTTATGCATCGTTGAGTGCCGGGTGGGCGTGGCCCATTGGCTGGGCGTGGCCGCAGTGGTAATGGCAGACTGGGTGGGACTAAAAAGTTCAATCAATCAATTCCAACTTTGCAAGAACTTTTTTTCCCCTGCGAGTTGAAATTGACTGATTGAACACTTTTTTTTTTTTTTGCACACGCAGTGGAGGTGGAGGCCTAAAGCGAAAAGGTTTTATAAAACCCAGCTGAAGGCCTAGGACTGGGGCTACGACCCACGTGCCCACAGAGAGGGCTCTGAGTGCTGCCTCTGGCACCCGTGCCATAGGTTCGCCACCACTGGGCTACAAGACCTTTCAGCTCTATTTTGATTCTGATTCAATTTGACTTTAATATATCCACGGCAGAGATACAGTTTTGAGCCAATGGTCCAAAATCGGCCTCCAGCTAGTCAGCGATGGTTCCTCGCATCCCAGAGAGGAAAGGGGATACCACAAACCATAATACACCACCTCGACACCCTCCACCCCGAAAAAGCCACCTCCTTCTCCAGCGACACGCGACGCTTGCAAGGCCGCTCATGTGAACCCTTTGACGAGGCTCTGTTCCCAATAGGGAGGAAAACCCTCGTGGAGACCCGAAAAGGGCGGCGAAGGGGCTCCTTCACTCACCCTCTCATGGTGAACTTGGTCACCGCCAGCCGGGAGCCGGCGGCGCTCAGTTCGCTCTGGAAGTCGGCGTCGTTAGCGATCACCTTCACCCCGACCATCCCGGCAGCGACTCACGGGCGGCGGGGGCTAAACGGCAGGAAAGCGCCGGCGGCGGCAGAAGCAGCAATTCGTCGCCCGGTATCTGCACAGTCACCGCGGGAAGAAGGAGGAAGACGCACGCCCAGCATGCACCACAGCATCTTTTGCGCAGGCGCGAGAAGCTCAGCCCTTTCCCGCTCCTTCCTTAACCTTTCCCGAGCGAATCATTCAGGCTCAGGGATAGAGTGGTGAAGGGGGGAGAAAGGTTGGGCAGAGCCAACTTCCGGTAAGCGTGGAGAAAAAAAAAACCACGGAGGCCATTGAGCGCAGAGAGGCGCCGGTCTAAGCGTGGTGCCTCTCTATGGTGAGCCGCTGTAAGAAGTAGGGAAGATTGAGAGCGGAAGGCCTCATCGGTTTTAGGCGGAAGTCAACTTGACCAAGGTCTGGAGTTTTTTAGGTTCTGGAAAGGAGCAAGTTTGCCATCTTGGTTGTGGGCATGAGATATCTGGAATAGAAATACAGGTCCTTTGGTGAGATTCTGGAGCAGTGTTTCTCCACCGTGGCACTTTTAAGATGTGTGGACTTCAATTCCCAGAATTCCCCAGCTAGCCAGCTGGTCCAAACTTTTTAAAGTTGCTGAAGTTGAGAAACACTCTTCTGGAGATAGGGAAGCTTTAGAAATTGTCTTAAGTTTGGGTCTAGTGTCTGTGTCAGTATGTATATCCGATGCTTTTCTGCTGTAACTTTTTGGATTACCGTATTTTTTTATATAGAGTGGTTTAAAACTTTGTGGTATGCTACTTTGAAAATGTGCTTTTACTAGGATTCTTTTAAAACTGGGTACATTCGCCAGAGAAAATTGAATAGCATCAGCAAAGGTACTTTACTGGAAGCTTTATTATATGCTGTTTTACGTAATTCGTTACTTAATACCTTGATTAGCTCTTAGGTCAGATCAAAATTCAAAAATATAAAATACAGAACCATTAAAGAAATACTGTAATAATTATGCCATTCATTACTTGAATTTTAGCTTCAGTGAAATAGTGGTAATTTCATTCAACGGGTATGATTGTCCACCTTGAAACCAGGACTTTGAGCTGATGGCAACAGTTAAAACAATTACAGCAAAATCAGTGCAGCCAAGCTAAAACAAAAACCCTATCTTTGTCTCCATCCTTTTTGCACCATAAGCCCCCATTTATATCCCAAACGTGCTTTTTTCCAGAGTCCAAGTGGACTTTCTTGTTTTTCTCTGGATGATTGAGAATCTCCATAGACATTTCCCCATTTATGGAAGCTGACAATAGGCTTGATGTCAGAAAGCATTAAGTTGCTGGCACTCGCTATATTCTCCCAGGACGCTCCCTTACATGCCTGCATCTCCTGCCCCATTAACATTTCGGGGTAGCACTGATGATGCTACCTAGTTTGGGTAATGAAACGTCTGCAAGAAAACAAGCAAGCTCAGAGAGCACCAAGGAGCCCCATGTGAAGCCTGAGCTACAAATATTCTCCTTTATTAATACATTTCACTTTGCTTTCTTCTTCAACCCGCGCTCTTCTTCCCCGCCCCGCGGAAAGAGGGGCATCGATGCCATGCGTCATCTCGGAACCCTCCCACCCCAGTTCCGCCCCGTCTTTCTGTCTCCATGGCTACAGCCTCGCGGCCGAGGCGGCTGCCGCCAAGCACCGGCCGACTCTTTTGCGACACTTGCGGCAGCCGTCGCGGCCGCTGCCAGTCCGTCAGCTGATTTCCAGCGGCTGCGTTGAGCCCCGGCTCTGAGGGGCGAGCAGGAAGCGGAGCCGGCGAGGGCAGTCGCGGAGGCTGAAGCCGACCTTCTTCCAACAGGAGGAGGAACAGAAAGGCTGCTCCACGCGGCCGAAGCAGGTACTAGTCCGTCGGGACAGCACGACCCCTGTTTTCGGCTGAATTAAGGTTGCCATTCGGGTAGAAGTTGACCGTCTGCAGCCCCCAGGCTCCCCCTCTGGCTTATGGTTCCCTCCCAACCATCTTTTCGTTTGCAGAGCTGACAGCAGGATCCCGTGGCTTCCTCCGCCGCCCCTCTTCTCCTTCACCCTCTCATTTGACTCTTCCCCCATTTCCGAAGTGTGTTTGTGTGTCTCTGCGCGCTGTGTGCCTGGCAAACCTTTTACAACCAGGAGGGATTTGTAAGCACCCACCCCCGCATCCCCTTCTATCTCTTCTCTCAGATGTGGTTTTGTGCTTGATGCTTTTTTTTTTTTAAAAAAAAAAATAGGGTTATTTTCAGGGTGAGTTGATGCGAGTTACTTTATCTGGGAAGCAAGATGACATTTTTAGAGAAATTCGCTCGTTTAGCTTCCCGGGTGGGAAGCCTTTTTTCTCTCTGTGGATCTCTTCGAGCAGGTTTCCTACCACCCCCTTTGATCGATCGATCGATTGATTGTGTGCCATCAAGTCATTTTTACCTCCTAGCGACCGCATAAGATGCATTTGCTCCATGGGGATTTGTCCCTAATCTGGTCTTCCAGCATTGCACCCCTTACTGCTGAAATTCGGTTCATTCAGTCTGCTTCTTCTCTTTCCTTTCACCTTTCCCAGCATTAGATCCTTTTCCTTATCTTTGCATAATGTCTCTGAAATGAGATAATGTGAGCTTGCTCATTTGTGCCCTGAGTGAAAACTCTGGGTTCTCTCTTCTCCTCTCCTCTCCTCTCCTCTCCTCTCCTCCTTTCCTCTCCCTTCCCTTCCCTTCCCTTCCCGAGGTGGGGACATCACTACTACCCCATTTGTACCAGGTGTGCCTCTCCCACCTCTGATATTTCCCCCCCCCCCCATTTGAATGTCACCCTTTTGAGTAGCCAGATCAACTCATTTCTGCCTGTGTCAGATGCAACCTTGTTTTCCTGGCAAGAGATCCCCCTTTTGCCCACTTACCATTAACTCATACTTATTCTGGCAGGTTTTCCTCAGCCCCAAAATGAGAATCAGTTTTTCCATTGTGTTTTAGTAAGATGATCTATTTTCGCATGCATGAAACTGAAACGTGCACATGGATCAGTGCACATATTATAGTTCTCTTAAAACTCTTCATCCAAATCCAGAGATGAGTTTGGGGAACCATGGGAATTCTAGGAAAACATAAAATTCTTTCTTTTTGTTTTTTTTAAAATAGCTACTTACTGCCTTGTATTGATTATTTCATATGGTGATCCCAGAGATGCATTTTTATGTTAGTGCACAGATGAATATTTAGCATCATGTTGTTGTAGTAAAGCCACTGCTTTGAGGATGGTCAGAGATTGTAGTTTTGCTGATTTCATTGGCAGATTCCTTATTGGAACCCATATAATAAAAGACACTCTCTTCTTCCATTTGATGTGAGAGAGAAGGATCTCTTTTCTGCACATACTCTATTTGGATGGCTAATATTCCTTATACTATACTTGATTTTCCTTAGGATACAGTACTGGGTTACACTGATAAATAGTAACACTCACTTTCTTTTGGCTGGATCATTATACCTGGAACTGATTGGACTGCTTGTGGTTTGGAGGTTCAACCTGTGAAAACTATTAGACATTAATTAGCATGTTCCAAAGGGAAGTTAGGTTGATTTAGGAATGGCATTAGAAAACTACTAGAGTTTATGGTTTGTTTTCACTAAGATCATTGGTGGTTGAGAAAACCATAATAGTGTGAACCATTATCATAAATCATGTTTTACAAACAATAACTGAAATCATACAATGTTATCAATTGAAACCAAATAAATCCAGTTGTGCGCTAGTTTGCTCTGGTTGCTGATTGCTTCTTTTCTTTCCTCATCCTTCTTTCAAATTATCTCTTTAGCACATGTTCTTTTCCAATGGCTACTGTTTTGGGAAATAAGAACTGCTTAATGTCTGTGGAGATTCCCAGTCATCCAGGTCATGGTTGTCCCAAAGGTGCTTTTTCAAAAGGCAACTGGACTTTGTTTTTCGCAAAACAAAAGTCCAGTTTTCAAAACAAAGTCCAGTTGCCTTTTGAAATAATTGCTTAATATTGAAATCAAAGTGCTGAGTCTTTTTGGTATAGCAACTGTCCTTTGTGAAAATCTTCAACTTTTGCAATCATAGCTTAAATGAATTTCATTTCTAATTATGATTACTATATTGGTTTATTGCCAAATAAACACACAGAGAATTGCTGTGTAGAACAGAATTAAATTGAAGGGTTGCAAAGTTTTCCATAAGGCTCTTTTTTTCTACCATGCTGATTAATAACCAATGTGAAGTTAATGTAATTACTTAGGGAGATTTTTTTTTTTAAGGCTAGAGCTCTGGAATATAAATATGGCTCAGCAGCACATACTTCAAATAAGTATACATGTAAATGAGTGGATTTATTTTAAGTATAATTGGTTTAAGGAACATAACCTTAACTAAACAATTGAGAGGTAATTTATGTGTGGGGGAATTCTATTTTCCATCATCGGATAATTTTCCAAATACAAGATTTGATTTGTGTATAGTACTTTCACCATAAATATTTGTAGAATGTTGAAGTGTCTTTAACATTTCTGTTGATTATGGAGGGTTGTGTTCACCCAATGTGCTTAAACTTTGGTTGTTTAAACAAGATTATTGAATAGATAAGGCTTGGCATGGTGCATGTAACATTTGATGCTTTTAAACCACCATTTAACATATCCTAGTCTATATTAGGCTAACCATAAACAAGTAAGCTACATTTTGGTTCATCAAGTTGTTGAAACCAGTGTGATGAAAGTATATTAATTACTGTATTTATACCTATCTTTCTTTTTGGGGAATTTAAAATGATTGTGAGCCTCTCCTAATTTAATCCTGCCTATGAGGCAGACTGGATTGAGAGAAAGTGACTAGAGGTAATCCTTGACTTAGCACTACAATTGAACCCAAATTTTCTGTTGCTAAGCAAGACAGTTATTATGTGAGTTTGGGCCTATTTTATGACCTTTCTTGCCAATGTGAATCATTGGATCAGGCATCCCCATTGACTTTGCTTGTCAGACAGTCACAAAAAATGATCACGGGACCACTGCAACCATCATAAATATGAGTCAGTTGCCAATCATCTAAATTTTGACCATGTGACCATGGGGAGGCTTCACTGGACATAAGTGTGAAAAATGGCCATAAGTCAGTTGAGATTAGACCTTTTCCAAATGCCTTAACTGCTATATTACAAGGAAGCTTAAGCACTAGCTTTGTCTTGGATGAGATGCCTCTCTTTACTTGTGTACATAAAGAGATTTTAACCTACTTTTCTGGTTTGGATCCTATTTGGGCAAGGCACAGCAGGCTAAAGAATCTGCCAACATTTACAGCTAACAGAATAATTGTGCAGTCTTTTCTGGTATTCATGTGTGTGGAATAATATGTGCACAGTTTTCATTGAAAAAAGTTAATTCAAAGTGGGAAATTTTTCCTTGGATATATCCATGAAGTCCTTAAGAGTCAAACTTCAGAACCGTTCTTGTTACCTCAGAGCAATGCTAAATTTTCATGCTGTATTTTAGGCCATGGTTTGTTAAAGAAGAAGCGTTTGGCTAGGTTCCCACAACATGCTAAACCATGAGTCAGAGCTTATAGGCTTCAAGAACTGAATTCTTGTAGTAAACCCAAACCAAAAAATGTACATTATAGCAATAGCATTTAGACATATACCACCTCATAGTGCTTTACAGCAATCTCTGGATGGTTTACAACATAAACATTATTTGCATATTGTCCCCAACAATCTGGATCCTGATTTTACCAACCTTGAAAGAATGGAAGGCTGAGTCAAACTTGAACCCCATCAGGATCGAACTCCAGGCTGTGGGCAGAATTTGCCTGCAGTACTACACTTTAACTATTGCGCTATCAAGTCTCCATTATTAATTAATCACACTTCTACACCACCTGTAGTATCACTTAAATGACTGTGGTGGGGAGGGGGTTTACGATAAAATTATGGATTTGCAAGAATAGATTTACCATAAATTATGATTTAGTATGGTGAATGAATCCAGGTTAAGTGTTCTTGAATATAATTACTTTTCTTAAAAATATTTTTTTTATTTGTGTACATTGTAAGCCTATAAACCCTTCTCTAGCTGGAATGAAGCCTCACTGAATTTAATAATACTTTTGAGTAGTAAGGTTGCTGCACAATTTTGTTTTGTTTTTTGCATTGATGGAGAGAGATGAACAGGACAGATGAAATGCAGCAGTATCTCCAGCAATTAATCTATCCCCAGGATTGTTATATTTGCTTTTATTTATCTGGATGTATTTTGTCTCTATTGCAGATGCATGCAAATACATATAAACCTTGTGTATACAAAGGCCAGTTGGCGAGTTTCCATGGCAGGGAAGACTTAAAAAGAACTGGTTAAAAATAGTAGTACAAATATTTATGTTCTGTATTTATATTTGGCACTACCAGTTCATTTTTATCTTTGCCACAACTGAAGCCTTCCAGTAAGCAAGTGGGCCAGAAGCAGGCAAAGATTTTTGGGCAAGACTTAGCTGTGTCCACCTGTCTTTTTTCTCTCTCATGTCAATTTCCCTATAGTTGATTATTAATTTTGAAACAAGAAGTAAGCCTATCTCTGTTTTTTCTTGTTTAAACCAATTTACTTTTTTATGTTCAGAGACAGAGAGGGAGAAACAAAGACACTAAAGTGAATAGAAAGCAACAAACTTTATTATATATTTTTAATGTGATATTGAACTTTGACCACACAGAATAAAATTGATCATATTTCCATTACATTGATAGGAAGCCAGTTCACAAAAACACATATCAATCCAGTCTTTGGTTGTACACGTTATCCAGCATTAAAAAAACCATCCATGACATGTTTAGGTACAACTCTATAATTCTCCCCATATTAAATATTTTTATGTTTAACATATAATCTAAATGTAGATACATAATTTTAAACTGTATTGAATTTTGTAACAGATTAAGAAACCTACCATTATTAAAAGAGAATAGGACAGTTGTGAAGATTTCCTATGATTAAATATTTTCTCTGTGGAAGAATGGTTGTGCTCCAGGCTTTGAATTAGCTTTGTTTCAAAGGAATGAAAGACCAAACAGTGTGTATGGTAAAATGCATATGTTTGTAGAATCTAGTGGTTTCATCAGAGTGAAAAAACAAGTATCACAATATTATGACTTAAACTCTCCCTGGAGTGAAATTGTGATAGATGGACAAAAATCTCTCTGTGGAACACTGAAGGGAAAAACTGCAGGTATAATGAAAAAGTTAATATGTGGCTTTCTGATACCATGACACAGAGCTGGTTGCATTTTTAGTAATGGAATTACTAAATTCTGTTTTTATTTCTTGGATAGATTGCTGCAGTGTTTATTTGGAAAATATTGTGACAGAAATATCATTTCAACTTTTATACATTTTCTATCTTCCAAAGCGCCTAAAGGCAGGACAAGAAGCAACAGATGGAAACTAATCAAGGAGAGAAGCAACTAGAACCAAGAAGAAACTTCCTGACAGTTAGAACAATTAACCAGTGAAACAACCTGCCTCCAGAAGCAGTGAATGCTCCAACACTGGAAGTTTTTAAGAAGAGACTGGACAGCCATTTGTCCAAAATGGTATAGGGCAGCGGTTCTCAACCTATGGGTCGCGACCCCATTTGGGATCGATCGACCATTTTTCGGGGGTCGCCAAAGAAGGCGATCCGCCATTTTCTCCCCTCAGGGGGCGGCGCCCCCATGCGCGCGGCGCCGCGCATGCGCAGAACGTTTGTGACGGGAGTCGCCATCACACAAACGTTGAGAACCACTGGTATAGGGTTTCCTGCCTGAGCAGGGAATTGGACTAGATGACCTCCAAGGTTCCTTCCAACTTCTTTATTATTATTATGATGATGATGATGATTATGATTATTACATGTTGTAAATGTTCACTTTACAAAAAATCCAGTTCTGAAAGTATTTGTTTTTAAATTGGGCTATTAATACTTTTTGCTGGCAAGAGACTACTGAAATTTAAAGCAATCTTATTATTAAAAGAGGAATTTTAACTTTTTAGAATTACAGAATGGCAATTGATTTTAATTCATTTAGTTAAAACACCTCTTGGTACTACAATTTGGTCATATGCATCCACAGCATCTAAAGTACCGGTATTCAAATTATTGCCAGTTTTGAAATGAGTTTAGGATATTAAATTCTAGAGTATTTTTAAAATCAAGAAAGCATCACTAAGATGGATATTAATTAGTTGCAAGAATTCTGGAATAAGAAGTTGAAATATCTCATATTAAGAAATCTGTAGTTAAGAGACTTAAAAATATTAAGTACATTATAGTGTTAAAATCAGACCAATTCATTAAATTTTTCTTTTGTATATATTGGTCGCTTCAGGTCCAATTAACAAGACTTGACTATCAACCTTATTTGTTTGTTTGTTTCTTTATTTATACATACAATTTTGCAGAATAACAGTTGAAAGGGACCTTGAAGGTCTTCTAGTCCAACCTCCTGCTCAGGCAGAACCCTACACCATTCCAGACACATGGCTGTTCTATCTCTTCTTAAAAACCTCCAGTGATGGAGCATTAACTCTGGAGAACATACAAAATTTAAAAAAATACAATTATTTAAACAAGTTAGCATCTGAAGTCACAGTAATTCCAATTTATAAGAAAACAACATTAACTGGAAGAGTTTACTTAGCCTCCTGGCTCAAATGCCTAAGGGAATAGCCAGGTGTTTAATGGCTTACAAAAGGCTAACTGGATCTATAGATCTCTGTGTTACATAAACCAGGAAGAACCCTGTTCACTAAAAATTGATGTCTTGATTACTTTTGATTCAGTATCATATTGTTAAGAATAAAAAGGAATAAAAATTGATTTGTTGAGTTAGAATTATGCACCACACACCCGCTTACCTCAGGACTGCCGCAGCCATGCCTCCCACGCCCTGACACATCAAGCCAGTGCCACTGCTCATGATGGGATGCCGCATGATGCATCGTGCTGGTGCCACTGCTTGCGGCACCAGCACTCGTGGTGACAGAACAATGCACCACGTGGCCTCCTGCTCCAAGCAGATGCCAGCAACCAGAAGAAGTGGGCCAGCATCCACACAGGCTCCTGCTAGATGGAGCTGCCAGTGAGGCAGATGTTGGGGCATGGGAGACCTGACTGCGAGGTGGTAAGCGGGTGTGGGAGCATGGGGCGGCCCCAACCCTGCCCTAGCTTGCTTTTTACATGTGTGCCTCGCCTCATCTTGTGCAATCAGTGGACGGGGTCTTAACTAGGGCTTATTTTGGGGGTAGGGCTTATTTTAGGCACACATGTAAAAATCAAGCTACGGCTTATTTTCTTGATTGGTATTATTTTCAGGGAAACACGGTATGATCATTAGAATAGCAATAGCACTTAGACCAGTGGTTCTCAACCTGTGGGTCGGGACCCCATTTGGGGTCGAACGTCCATTTCACGGGGGTCGCCAAACAAGGCTGTCCGCCATTTTTTCCCCCATTTTCTTTGGCCATGCCCCTGGCACCTGGTGATGTATAAGTGGTTGGGGGTCACCACAACATGGGGAACTGTATTATGGGGTCACGGCATTAGAAAGGTTGAGAACCACTGACTTAGACTTATATACTGCTCCATAGTGCTTCACGGCACTCTCTGAACAGTTTACAATGTCAGCATACTGACCCAATAATCTGTGTCCTCATTTTATCAACCTTGGGAAGATGGAAGGCTGAGTCAACCTTGAACCCCATCAGATCTGAACTCCAAGCTGTGGGCAGAGTTTGCCTGTAATACTTCACTCTAACCACTGTGTCACCAAGGCTCTTAGAATGATGAAATAGCAACCTACAGTATAAGAATGAAAGTTTGGAATAGTTATATCATTTGGAAAAGAGAAATATCAACCTATTCAATTACTATTTTTACATATTTCCTCTATTGTTATTGTTTCTCTATAATCGATAGTTTGTTCTCTGAAAATCATTAACGAAGAAACAAAACTACATTTGCTTATACATATATAATTATTCATGTATCGAAGAATCATTTCTTCCTATCTCTATCCATCCATCCATCTTTGCATAACATTTAATCTATTAGTAAATTAACCCATTTTCTTGATTTGTATAGTACTTTCATTCATAAGATAGTCAAATGAATTCTTATAACAAACTAAGCCACAATGTTGCTTATTGGGGTAAAAACTGAGTTTATCATGTACATAAGCAGCAGGTAAGTTTATAAATGATCAGATTCAAATTATTATGGAAAAAATTGTTTGGTTACTAGTCTGCTGTTCTTCTCTTGCTAACCTTATTTCATTTGGATGAATTAAAACACCTATAAAGCTGTGTTATCTGTAGCTGTGAAAGCATGAGATGGTGTTGAGCCTGTATGTAGCCTGCTTCACAAGATCTTATTTTTAAAATCCTACTAAAGAAAATGACTTCATGGTGCTTTTATTAAACTTTTGCAGTTGAAACTATGTTAATTGCATTTTCAGGCGTGAAACCATAATGGCAGGCAACAGTTTGGTCCTGCCAGTCGTCCTGTGGGGACGCAAAGCTCCTACTCACTGTGTATCGACTATACTATTAATGGATGATGTTTCAATGATTGTCACAGGATGTCATGATGGTCAGATATGTCTATGGGACCTCTCTTCAGATTTAGAAGTAAGTTTAAACCATGGAATTAGAAAACATTTCAGAATGATACATAAGTTGCATTTGAAATGTGGTTTTAGAAATATAGTTTAAGCATATTTCTATACAGTTCCGTTTGAACTGGGTACATGTTTTATAATTTCCTGAAAATGCATTGTTACAGTATCTATGCTTTTCCCAGGAAAATCCTTACTTCCAAAGCTGATTCATCAGAACAGTCAATATATGTTATTGGTATTCATAGGCTTGCTTTTGTGGCGGTGCGGACTTTTTTAAAAAAAATAAATCATTAAACCATGGAAAATCACTGAACACTGTTGAAAAGTGACTCTGCAGGGCTTCCTTTCTCCCCTGGTCCTTTGGAGATGAACATACTTAATTTAATTTAAAAAGAATAATTAATTCAAATACTGATTTTGGAATGTATTGTTTCTGTTTCTCTAATGCTGCTTCTAAAACAGCATTGCTGATTTATTTATTTCTAAGGCATACAGAGTGTTTGTAATTTGGACTGAGACTTTGAGCAATTTTGACATCAAAACAAATAACGTAGAATCTAAAATTGTTATATCCTTTTTTGTTTGATTTATATGATCAGATATTACACTCAGTTGCATTTGCAGCATATTCATGCAGAAAGTAACAGGGTAAATATTCTCTGTTTTCCACTTGTAACATTAGATAAGAAAGAAAAGGGCGGCTAGTACCTAATTGGATGCTGTTTTGGAATGCAAACCATATTATTCTTCATGATAATTTTAAAAAGTAGGTCGCTCAAGTCATTCAAGCATGAAGACTATCAATTTGGCAATAGCTATTCCAAAGTTATGATCTACCATTAAGAGTGTTTTTAACCCTTTCCCAAATTATATAGGAAGGGATCCAATTCTCAAGGTCTCTAGCCTAATAGCAACACCATGAAAAACTTTTATAGTTTGAGCTTAGAGCTTTGACATAGTTTTAATTATCTGAATAAAAAGCATGCATCACACAAATCATTCATCTTGCTCTTTCAAAAAATATTTTAAAGATAACGAATATTTCTTTGCAAGACGGTTCCATGGGTTGATTTATTTACAATTCATGAAAACTGCTTTGATCCAATATGTGAAAGATGGCCAGGATAGTCCCTTGGAGCTGTATTTGACACTGTGTTCTCAACTTTTTATACTTTGTTTTCCCAAATTAGTGGAGATAGAGGTATTCCCTCATAATTGGAGAAATAAATGTATGAAAAGTTTACAAATGTGTGTTATTCTCATGCCTTTAACTATGCTTTTTATTTTGTAATAATATTTGAAATTACTTAGAGCAGTGGTTCTCAACCTTTCTAATGCCGCGACCCCATAATACAGCTCCCCATGTTGTGGTGACCCCCAACCACTTATACATCACCGGGTGCCAGGGGCCTGGCCAAAGAAAATGGGGGAAAAAATGGCGGACAGCCTTGTTTGGCGACCCCCGTGAAATGGTCGTTCGACCCCAAATGGGGTCCCGACCCACAGGTTGAGAACCACTGACTTAGAGTCATTTCTATTTTTTTTCTCCCTGATTCTAGATAAACCCCAGAGCTCTGTTGTTTGGTCATACAGCATCAATCACTTGCTTATCCAAAGCCAGTTCTTCAAGTGAAAAGCAGTATATAGTGAGTGCATCTGAAAGTGGGTAAGTATTTGCTTTTGAACCAAATTTTCTGTCAACGACTGAATTAATTTAGGTCTCTTATAACATTATATTAAATATTATCTTAAAATCTGCTTGGGCAGGGGTTTTTTTTTTGCCTTCAAAGGCAGTCCAGCTATAATTTTTGCATCATCCTTCTAAATGTCTCCTTCCTAAAATGATCTTTCAATAAACAATTGTTAAGCAATGATTGCTTAACACCTACATTGCCCTCTTTTTCTTCTTGTAGAGAAATGTGCCTTTGGGATGTGAATGATGGAAGGTGCATTGAATTTACAAAATTAGCCTGCACACATACTGGCATACAGGTAAATACTTCAAGTATGGATTAAACTACAGGTAGTCCTTGACTTACAACAGTTTTTTTAGTGATCGTTCAAAGTTACAAAGGCCCTGAAAAAAGTGAGTTTTGACCATTTTTATAGTTACGACCATTGCAGTATCCTCATAATCATGTGATCAAAATTCAGATGCTTGGCAATTGATTCATATTTATGACCTTTGCTGTGTTCCAAGGTTCAGTGATCCCCTTTTATAACCTTGTGACAGGCAAAGTCAATAAAACCAGATTCACTTAACAATCGGGTTACTAACTTATCAGCTGCAGTAATTCACTTAACAACTGTGGCAAGAAAGGTCACAAAATGGGGCAAAACTCACTTAACAAATGTCTCACTTAACAACAAAAATTTTGGGCTCCATTGTGGTCGTAAGTTGAGGACTATCTGTAGTTATGTATAAATATAAATGAATACCTAGGCTTCAGTGTAACTGCTTTTAAACTTTGTTTAATCTGATACGGTTTTCAAGTACTCAAGTACACGATACAAGTACATCAGTAATAAGCATTTTTATGTGATGAAATATTTGAAAATTGAAACTGTTAATAATCTTTGGGAGAATTGGCAAAACAACCACAAAGAAATAAATAAAATTATGGCTGTATTCTGAGACAGTTAAAGGAACCTGTTTTTGCTGTCTTTTAGGAGCCAGCTGGAATGCAGAAATAGTGAAAGTCAGGTAATTTGTTGTAGGGTAAATTTGATTTAAATAAAATTGATTTAAATAATGATTTATATCGCTAGTCAGGAAAATTCATTTTAATTATTTACTAAGTCATAAAGATTCCATTAATCATTAGTTTCTTCTCAAAATACTTGATACAACATTATGATATACTCAGAAAAAGAAATAGTTTTCAGTTTTAGGTGGTAGATATTCACTTTTATTATAAAGCAACATTTTTACGTTAATTTTCATTAAATTCATTAATAGGATTGATGGTTTGATCATTTTATTTAGTATCCAAGTGGGTATGTTCTTGTGAATGATTAGTATATGAAATAACTCCAGTTGAATTTATCAGGACTGTTTACCATAACCATTGTTCTAATCAGTTGTATGAGCTTGGCAAAAGAGGTAACTGCTTTTAATTGTTCACAAAAAGTAGACCTACATTTTGTTGAATACCTCTTTGAAAACTTTCTGTAGTCTTTTGTATTTTCAATGATTAATGCTTTCTGAGCCAGATTGATTTTTAACAAAACTTTTAAAAAAAACTTGCAGATCTAATATACATTCTAAAAATGGTGTCAGTTAATTCACTTTTTAAAAAAATTATTTGTTTTTACTCTCCTGGATTGATTGCTAGGATGTTGTATTAACAACAATGACTAAGCAGTTGTGAGCATGCATGATACTTATAAAGAAAATCTGGTTATCTGGCATTTGGGGTGCCACACATTAGACTGGCTCTGATGTCATTCTTCCATTCTCTTTTAGTTCTATCAATTCACAGCTGGGACTCAGCGTGAAGGGAGATTGTTGTGTCATGGCCATTATCCAGAAATTCTTGTTGTGGATGCTACCAGCCTTGAAGTTCTTTATTCCTTGGTGTCAAAGATTTCTAAGGACTGGATCAGTTCTATGAGCATTATTCGATCTCACAGAACACAAGGTGAGCCAATAATCATAGCTCAGGCTCTTATTTTTTCAGGAATTGTCTTGGCAACCATAAATAATAATAACTGTATGCCATCTGACTTCAAACAACTCTGGCTCACAACAATCCAAGATATTACAATGAAATCAATAAAAGATAAAATGTGGCAAGGACCACAGGCCAAATGGAATGAAATGAGGGCCTCACAGTCCCTTGTCAAAGTCCTGGGTGAAGCAATAATAAGTAGACAAATTAATAAATCACTAAAAAAGCAAGGTATGAATCAGTTCAGTCACATCTGAATTTGGCTTTGCGTAATTCTTGCTGATACCGCAACTATTCCTCAGTCCTAAGATTAAGCGATGTGTTTTGGGTTTGGTTCACGTAGTGCTACTATTTTCTCTTCAAGTGAGATTTTTCCAGTTCACTCCAGTTTTCCTCAGAATGTTTGTTTGATAGTATCTCATCTAAGGAAGAAAAGTACAATTGTTTCTCCATGAAGTAAAACTTGACTAAGATTTATCTTTAGTGCCCAGTTAGAAAAAATCTTTTTATGAGCGTTATCTATGGGAGGGTAATTTTGAATTTGAACCCTGCCTTACTTGATGGATCTGCAAAATCAGGGATCTTCAAACTTAGCAACTTTAATTCTTGTGGACTTCAATTCCCAGAATTCCCCAGCCAGCACAGCTGTTGAAGTTGAAGTCCACAAGTCTCAAAGTTGCTAAATGTGCAAAATGATATATTTTATCCACTTTTTAATTAACTTGTAATATATTTATATTTAGTGCCTGTTTGGTGTAGCGGTTAAGAAATCAGTCTAGAACATGCGTGTTTGCCAAGAAAAATGCAGGGACCTGTCCAGGAAGTCTCTGAGAGACAGACATGATTGAATGGAAGAAAAAAAAATGTATATATTCAAGAACATTAAGATAGCATGAAGTTTAGAATGATACAGTTATTTCATGTCATAGCTATTTTAACTCACTCAGTAGTGGAACTGTGTTGACATTCATTTTCTGTCACCATGTGCTGGTACATGATGAGATGGATATAATTTGCAGACTTCACTTTAGATCCAACTTAAAAAAAAAGACCAGGTATGGTAACAGGAAAATTACATTTAGGAACTATTAGTATTCATAAATTTTCATTTTTCACTTAAACTTTATTTAAAAGTCAGGTTTCAACTGCGCCATGGCTCAGTGGTTAAGATGCTGGGCTTACCAGCTGGAAAGCCAGCAGCCCAGGTTCAACACCTGAGCACCCCACGACGGGGTGAGCTCCCATCCTTGCTTCAGCTCCTGCCAGCCTAGCAGTTCGAAAGCATGCAACTGTGAGAAGATTAATAAGTACTACTTTTGTGGGAAAGTAACAGCGCTCTGTGATGTCATGTGACCTCACATAATGTCATAGACAGCATTAGTTCGGACAGCACTGGTTCAATAGCTTTGAAATGGAGATATGCACTGAAGAAGCTTTGTAGATGAGCAGTGCCACTTCTTCAAGGAAACACAAGGTCCAGTTACTTTTTGAAAAAGCACCTTTGGGACAACCATGACCTAAATAACTGAGAATCTCCATTAGAGATTGAACAGAATATTTTGCTCCTGTCTGTTTCCCACTTACTATTATTATATGTATTCCCTTGACATTCTCAACTCAAGAATGTGATGTGTAATAAATACATTTTTTAGGTTTTATCCTCAGCATCTTTTTTTATTGTGTTAGTCAGATAAACACTACTGAATTTATGTAATAATTCTGATTCTCTGTGTCTTGTGGGATAATGATTATTATTTTTTTTTCTCTAGAGGATACTGTTGTAGCAGTATCTGTGGCTGGCATTCTTAAAGTATGGATTGTAACTTCTGAAATGAGTCACATGCAGGTAAGGAAAAACATTATAAATATAGCTCATAATGATGAACTTCTTTTCCAATGTGTGGCTTTTTTTTTTTTTTTTGCAGTTGATTGACTTTTTTTCACTGCTTGTGTTATCTTTGAAAGGTGGGTATGCTTTTAGCAGGTGTTCTGTTTCTGCTCAGATATGCTCTCCCTGATGCCCAACGGTTATTTATAATTTGTTAAGCAGAAGGTTTGTTTCTTTTTCTTAAGCTTTATGCAGACAGAGAAGACTTGATATTGTAAACTGTGGATTAAATGTCCTCTATATTTTATCTGTTTCAAGAAAGAAGAATTCATTGTTATCATGTTCCTAGGTCTCAAATAGTTTCTTCCCAACAAGCCTTGAATTCTAAATAATGATAGTATAGCATCGTGGTATTTTAGAATGATGCACCAAATTTAAAAATAAGGATGGAATACATACTGACAAATATATTTATATTTTGAAATCTTTCAAGCTAGGATTCAAGGTTACAAAAGGAACAAAGAGAATTGGAAAAGAGTAATTTAGAAAGAAGTAGAGAAATAAAAGTTTCTTGTAGATTATTGCATAAAAGACTTTACATTTCTCCTTACTTTTAATTTCTTTCAAGGATACGGAGCCAATCTTTGAAGAGGAATCTAAACCAATTTACTGTCAGAACTGCCAGAGCATTTCCTTCTGTGCATTTACCCAAAGATCACTTTTGGTAGTTTGTTCTAAATACTGCAGGGTAAGGATAACCAGTTAAGTGAAAGTTGGCTTTTCTTTGTTGTTCAGTCTCCTGTACTCAGACTGTGCATGAGGCAAGCATGCAATAAATAAATAAATAAATAAATAAATAAATAAATAAATAAATAAATAAATAAATAATCTCCAGACAGTCAGACTCTAAATTTATTAGTCTACAGTGATTTCTCTGCAGAGCTAATTGCCTTAGGGTACATGAGCTCACATCGTAGTTGCTCGATTGCTACTTTCATAGAAAACTACAACTATTTATCCAGACCTTAAAATAATATTTACTAGAATGATCACAGTGCTTTTGCTTTCAAACTTTTTTCTTTAATTTTTTTTAGAGAATTGCTTCTGATATTGAACATATACTTTTTGCAGTCTTATATGGCCTCTCATACATGAGAATGATACTTTTTTTTCTGCAGGCTTTTGATTTGCTGAATTGAAATTTTTTATTGATTGTTTATATCTTTGTCTTGTGTTTCTAAATATTCTTTAGTATCTTTAGGTATTCTAAATTGTAAATTCCACTGAGTATCTTTTGGGGTTTGTTTGTTTTTTTGGTTTTTTTATTGAAAGGGTTTAATAAACAAATGCAATTATTGTTTTTATAAATAAAGCACTAATAGCAGAAACTGTAAGAAAGGCTATTTGTATTTATGTTTATTAATTTGCAATCAATTTATATTATGTAATTACTTTTCTTTAGGTTTTTGATGCCGGAGATTATTCCTTGTTATGCTCAGTTCCAAGTGAAAATGGACAGACTTGGACAGGAGGTGATTTTGTGTCAGCAGACAAAGTGATAATATGGACTGAAGATGGACAAAGTTTTATATATAAACTGCCAGCCAGGTATGTGATATTAATAGGGCATAAATAAATAAAGAAATGCATAAAGAAATAAATGCATAAATAAATAAGTACATACATACAGCATATACATACATACATACATACATACATACATACATACATACATAAATATCACTCTAGAGTTTTGTGTGTTCACATAGAATAAGGGATAGTGATACTAATGAATAGTTCATCAGGCCATACCCTTTTTTTTTTTAACTGATCTGTTATTAGAACAGAGAGCAAGTTTCATGATATGGTTAAGGCATCAGGCTAGAAATCATGATTTAGCAAACCAGCTGGGTAACCTTATTTCACTCAGCCCTAGAAAGGAGGCAGTGGCAAACCACTCCTGAAAACCTTGTCAAGAAAACTGCAGAGACCATGCTAGGCTGTCTCTGAGAATAGCAATAGCACTTAGACTTATATACTGCTTCATGGTGGTTTATAGCCCCTCTCTAAGCAGTTTATAAAGTCAGCATATTGTCCTCAACTTTTGCCGATCTCAGAAAGATGGAAAGCTGAGTCAACCTTGAACCAGTGAGAATCGAACTTCTGGCAGTGGGCAGAATTAGCCTGCAGTACTGCATTCTAACCACAGTGTCACCAGGGCTCTCTGGATGTATTTGATTGAAAGAACAAAAAAATAAGAATATATCCCAGTACTCTGAACTTGGGCATCATAGGAGACTGGGATCAGCTCTATTTCTCTTTATGTGCAAGAAAAGAAGAGAGAGGGACTGTGACAGAGATAAATAAATATGTTTGAGCTGGCTTTATTATGCAGTTTGTGAAGCTGAATGAAGGATAAAGTTCATATTGTCGATACGTAGGTGATTAGCTTTTTAAATTTCTCTGTGAGTAGTTAAATTTAGATCTACAGAAATTTATTATTTCTACCTCTGCTAATTTCATCAACTTAATTAGGCAAGCCAGCTCCTGAACTATTCTTAAGTTTGGATAATGGCTTTTACCTTATGTAGAGGATTGCTGTTAGATAGTATTGTACAGATAGATCCCACATTTTAGAACTATTTTTCTAACGCTGCCTGTCATGTGGATTTCCACATTATTTCCACATTTATAGTTAAACTATTAAATATAACCCCTCTTTTTTAACTCAGTATTTTTCAGCTTTGCACTTTAAAATGTGTGGACTTGGGTAACTCCCAGAATTCCCCATCTAGGAATTCTTAAATTTGCTGAAATTAAGAAATACTGCTCTAAACTATCTAGTTCACTGTTGTCACGTGAAGGCTGAAGCGGCAATTTAAGATACGTTTCTTAATTGTTATATCAACTATTCGATATAAACTTTTTGGTTCCCAGTTGCCTACCAGCTAGCAAATCATTTCGCAGTGATGTTGGAAAAGTTATTGAAAACCTCAGTCCTCCTGAACTCTACTGTGTTCTAGACCAAGGAGAGCAGAAAGCAGACAAACAGGTAAGATTTGACTTGCTTAGTGTTTAGAAACTTTATTAGCTTAGAACAGGGGTTCTCAACCTTGGCAACTTTAAGACTTGTGGACTTCAACTCCCAGAATTCAATTCTGGGAATTGAAGTCCACAAGTCTTAAAGTTGCCAAGGTTGAGAACCCCTGGTTTAGAAGCTAAAAACTGAAGTCCTTTTGAGATTGTGGATATGTGTTGCTACTTACTTATATTTTAATACCGGTTTCATTTTTTCACCTAATATAGAGTGCTTTCTACAAGAAGTATATCCAGCAATTTTACAGATGTCCTTTGGTATCCCATTTCTATTTTTCCAGATGTTTTTAATAGTCATTTTAATCTACTGTATATTACATTTTAATATACTGTATATTACGTTGGGATACTTATGTTTTTATATAATTTTTATTTTCGTGATTTTTCAGGTGCAGTTTATTAACATGTTCTTTTGAGCTCTATTACAGGGTATTGCTGTTTTTATAGCTTTTTATTTGCCCCAAAGATCCCAGATCTGGAGTAGACTGAAAATCAGATAAACAATGTTATGTTTGCTTTGTATTTCTTTAATATGCCTTTTCTGTACACTATCTTGAAATTATATTGTATACTGATTGTTTAAAAGAGTTAATAATTGCTGATATTGAATAACATCTGTCTTATATCTTGCATACAATATACAATTGTATATTATCTACATTGTTAGATATTACTTTTATAGGACTATGTTTCCTGACATTGTCAATTCAATTAATAGTATTGAAATTAAGATCTCACATAGGCATCATAGTTAGAATTGGGATCCAGATGAGCAAGATTTTGCTCTACCTGTTAACTTGTCTAAAATATTGTTTCAATGCCCTGTTTGTTTTACAGTTATTAATCTGCCCTCCTGTCACCCGGTTCTTCTATGGCCGTAGGGAGTGTTTCCATAAACTACTAATCCAGGGGGACTCTTCAGGGAGGCTCACCATTTGGAGTATTCCAGATTCACTTGACAAGCCAGATATGACTGAAGGTAATTGTTGTCACAGCAGGTAGCAACACCTAGTACTGTAACCTTGAAGAAGGGTCAGTCTTGGTTTCTATTTAGACAAGGAATAAGGAGATGGGTAGTTCTTGGTGCTCTCTGAGCTTGATTGTTTGCTTGCAGATGTTTCCTTATTCAACTAGGTCAGGGGTCCCCCACCTCTGGGTTGCGGTCCATGAATAGGCCATGAGCTGTTTGCAACCAGGCTGCAAAAACAGCAGGCGAGCGCTCACGCATGTACATCCCCACTTATGCAAGCAGCAGGCAAACGTGTCCATGCACGCTCCATTTGAGTGAGTGGTGGGCATATGTGCATGACACCGACGCAATGGAGCTGCACCGGTGCATGCTTGCTGGCCGCTTGCATGGAACTATCCCTTCTCCTCCCCCCACTGGTCCACAAAGCCGGAACAGTTGGTGAATTCTGTACTAAGTAACCCTCATACTGATGCTATAACTTAGTTGGATAATGAAAATATCTGCAAGCAAACAACCAATTTCAGAGGGCACCAAGAACTCCAACCCAAAATTACAAATATTTTCTTCTATTAAGATCAGAAAATACCCAAATGTAAGCTAGACTGTTAAGATGAAACTATATCTCCAGAGATAAGCCACTTCTCTGTTGCTGCCATCAAGAGTCCGGCTCCACTTGAGGGAAGCATTAGCTACATTAATTAGAGGAATTAGCAAATATATTGGTCTTCTGCCCAATCCATCAGAATTCTTCACCATTGTTCATTACCCTATTCCTAGTAACTAGAGCCAGTTTTTTTCTCACTAGTAAATTCCCTCCTTACTGCTTCATTTATGATTCACAAAAACAAATTCTAAACTGCTATGCAAGGCCATGCACAAGCTTATTTTTTTAAGATTTTAATTTAGTGAAAATTATCTATGGCATTGCTTTTTCTGAGCCTTTCATTTATTTAATATTTCAAATGTATTTTGTTTAAAAATCAGGATTGCCGCTTACTACTTCTACTTCTCTACAAGAAGCATTTAACAAACTCCACCCAGCTGGTATTATAGATCAGTTGAGTTTCATACCAAATAGTGATGAGCCTTTGAAGGTGACAGCAAGTGTCTACATCCCAGCACATGGGCGACTGGTTTGTGGTCGTGAAGATGGAAGTATTGTAATTGTTCCAGCCACTCAGACTGCTATAGTTCAGCTTTTGCAAGATGAACATATGTGCAGAAGAGGTATGTGAAATAATAAGGGCTCAGGGATGATTTATTAACTTGTGGGAATTAAATTGGTTATCTGTACAGGTAGTCAGTCCTTGACTTATGATCATAATTGATCCCAAAATTTCTCTTGGTAAGCAAGATATTTGTTAAGTGAATTTTGCCCCATTTTATGACTTTTCTTGCCATAGTTCTTAAGTGAATCACTGCAGTTGTCAAATAAGTGACATGTTTGTTAATTGAATCTGGCTCCCCCATTGACTTTATGTAATAATAATAGTAAAGTTGGAAGGGACCTTGGAGGTCATCTAGTCCAACCCCCTGCTCAGGCTGGAAACCCTATACCATTTCGGACAAATGGCTGTCCAGTCTCTTCTTAAAAACTTCCAGTGTTGGAGCATTCACCGCTTCTGGAGGCAGGTTGTTCCACTGGTTAATTGTTCTAACTTTCAGGAAGTTTCTCCTTAGTTCTAGGTTGCTTCTCTCCTTGATTAGTTTCCACCCGTTGCTTCTTGTCCTGCCTTCAGGCGCTTTGGTAAATAGCTTGACTCCCTCTTCTTTGTGGCAGCCCCTGAGATATTGGAAACTGCTATCATGTCCCCCTCATCCTTCTCTTCATTAAACTAAACATACCCAGTTCCAGCAGCCTTTCCTTATATGCTTTAGCCTCCAGTCCCCTAATCATCTTTGTTGCTCTTCTCTGTACTCTTTCTAGAGTCTCAACATCTTTTTTACATCGTGGTGACCAAAACTGGATGCAGTATTCCAAGTGTGGCCTTATCAAGGCATTGTAAAATGGTATTCACGTGATCTTGATTCTATCCCTCTGTTAATGCAGCCTAGCACTGTGTTGACCTTTTTGGCTTGTCTGACTTTGCTTGTCAGATGGTTGCAAAAGGTGATCATATGACCCTGGGATACTGCAACTGTCATTAATATGAATCAATTGCCAAGTGTTTGAATTTTGATCACTGACCTCAGGATGTGACAACGGTCGCAAGTGTGAAATACAGTTATAACTCATTTTTTTTCAGTTCCGTTGTAACTTTGAACTGTCATTAAATAAACTGTTGTAAGTCAAGGACTACCTGTATTCATATTCAACTGATATAGAAGAGGTTGTTCCATTTATGCATGGAATAATGCTTGCATTCATTATAATTGTTAAATTATTTTTTAAATTCACGAATTATGCTGAAGGTACTTTGAGTGTATTTCTCATCGATGCGGCTATATTTCAAAGAACTGAAAGCAGTTCATAAAAATAAATCTTAATTGTCATCATTTAGCTCATGCATTTTGTTTCAGTGCCTTGCATTTGTAAGCTGAAGGGGGTGATAGGATCAGAATACCCTTGAATACTGTCGAGCAGGGGTGTCAAACTGCCGGCCCGCAGGCTGGATGCGTCATGCCAAATCCGCGCCCACACTATTGCCAGCAATGGGGAAAAAGTCGCGATACATTGTGACACATCAGGTGACATCGCAGATTTGACACCCATGCTGTAGAGTATATAATAAGTCTGTTGTAGGACTGGTCATGATTATTGTTGCTTTTAAAGCTACAGCAAAGATCAAAATGAGAATGTATTGATCTTTGCGGCAGCAAAAGGATACTTGGCCTGCCAATGAATTTGAAAATGATCCTGATAATGATGATGATGATCATCATCATCATCATTGTCATTATCATCTTCATCCCAGGAATAAACAATAGGTCACTTGAATCAGTTTCTTTAAATGCATAATAAAGCAACAACAATTGAATGACTTTCAAGTAGTGAGAAGGTCATCTTGAATAAAATTACTGCAATGGGAGGCTACTTCAGATAATTGGTCTATAAGTTTCATTTAACAGAAAAATGTCAGATAACAAGTACCATTCATCAAAAAGTATGTTTTGTACTGAAAATATGATACCTGTTTTAAAGAATCTGTGGTGACTCCTTCTGAATCCCATTTAGAGAAATAGTGCTAGTCGTGAATACAGGGATACAATTCAGTACCTTCACATAATACTACTACTTTGCAAGCTACATTAGCTCCCACTAGTGCTTTTGTGTGCAATTTAAGATGCTGGTTGTCATGTGCAAAGCCTTTTAGGGCACAAGGCTGAGTTGAATGTAGACTCCAGTTATTTTTGCCTAATAGGAGGGATGTGTTCTTTTGTCATTGTGCCAACCCTGTGGAATAGCATACTCTTAACATTCAGATGACTTTAATCCTATCTTCCATATGGAAAGCAATGGTTTTTCTCTTTAGCACAGTGCCATGAAATTAGAAGAGTCTCTTTTTAGAATGTTACTTGTGCAGATATACCAGGCAGGATATGTTTTGTTTGGGTGATCTTTGGTTGCTTTTAACTGGGTGGTAAACAGCCCAGAATTACACAGCAAGCAGCTAGTGACAAACATAACTAAACAAATTAAATAAACAAGGTCTTTTAAACTCTAGCCAATAGTGTGATTTTCAATCTGTCCTTCTCAGGGTTTTTCATTCTGTTACAAAAGTTCCTGATTTGGATACTTCTTACTTTTGCAAAGATAATTTCCATTTTCCTTCAAGCTTTTGTTTGTTTATCATTGGAAACCTCAAGTTATTAACTATCATTTCAAATGGAATTGACTCTGTTTGTTAAAGTAAGAGTTAGAAAGATATGCATCTTTGACCCTAGAAGATGAAACTTATCTAGCAGCTTTTTTGTACATATTTCAGGCACCGGCCATCAAATATATACAGTGAAATGCTTTTGGTGCATTTAGGTTAGGGAACTGATCACCTGTCTTCTTGAAGCTTCACTGCAGATGAGGTTGGATATGCTACATGATAGATGCTAAATTAACAAGTAGCAAATGAAATAGAAGTGACCTCGTCAAAAAAAATAGATTGAAAATGAATTAATTTAGAAATGGAATACTGAAACTTTATCATTAATATTTTTTTTTCTACTGTACATTGTTATTTGCATATCTTTATTACACAAACGCATATGTGCTCCTGTTTCAATTTCTTCTTATCTTGAAATTACCAAGATTTCCTGCAGACCCACAATATGTGGCGTTTTGTGTTTTCTTCTGTTTTAATGTTTTAGGTTGGCCACCTCATAGAACTCTACGGGGACATCGAAACAAAGTCACCTGTTTGCTGTATCCTCACCAGGTCTCCTCTCGTTACGATCAGAGATACTTGGTCTCGGGTGGTGTAGATTTTTCTGTCATTATATGGGACATCTTTTCTGGAGAAATGAAACACATCTTCTGTGTGCATGGTGGAGAAATCACTCAACTTTTGGTTCCTCCAGAAAATTGCAGTGTAAGTTAATGAACATCTCCTTGGCACATGCCTCTCTTATGACTAATATAAAGAATAATTTGTTTTCAAGTTGAAATTGTTTTCATGAAAATCTTTTTTTATTATTGGTTGACCTTATGTTTATATACTTTTATTTTCAAAAATTTGAATATCACTTTGCAAGTTATGGTGAAGGATAGCGTACAACAGAGTTGGCTGAAAGATGGGCAGCTATCTAGATGTTTCAAATAAATAAATCAGAAAACAGTAAAGCAGAATATGCAAAATAACATTTAAATACAAATAATTTATTACATATACCCTCACACATAAATAGAGAAATGACAGAATAATTTGTCCAATTGTGAGGTTATTGCGAACTTAATTCCTGCTTAATGCAATGTTTAAATTGTGAACAAAAGTGAAATTATTCTTCGATATTTGCGATTTAGTAGGTGTTAACAGTAATAACAAAGGGACTAAGGGGAATAGATGTGCACAAATATCTATTAGTGGAAAATAATAAATAAAAGTATTTGAAATCATGGTTTAGAAAATTTAACACAGAAGTGTATATTAGAAACATGGCTTATAAAAATATATAGTCCTTAGTGTGGGGGTTCCCAATCTTGACAACTTTAAGTTGTGTAGACTTCAACTCCTTTAGAGGATTCATGCTTAGAATTTCCTGGAAGTTATGTAGAGCAGAGGCCCCCAACCTTTTAGGCACCAGGGACCAGTTCTGTAGGGAGAGGTTTTTCCACAGACCGGAGGGGACGTGGTTTCATGTGCTGCCTGCATCCCATGGATAGGGCTTCGCTTGTTTGCACCGTGGCCTAGTGGTGGTCCATGGACCAGGGATTGGGGACCTCTGATGTAGAGGGCAAATAAGGGGAAAAGGAGAGAAAATCCCACAATTAATAAATAGCATAAGTAAGATGTGAATTGGCTGCCCAGACCCAATCATTTTTATGCTCTAGATTTTAGACTACAATAAGCCAACTTATTTAGCTTGAATTAAAGTCTCATTTAGCTTTCAGCTCACTGTACAAGTTATTTTATTTTGTCTAAGTACCTTAAATGAATGCTAAACCAGGTGTCCCCAACCCCCGGTCTGTGGACCAGGACTGGGCCGTGGCATGCCAGCAACCGTGCCGCACAAACAAGCAAAGCCCCATCCGCGAGATGCAGGCAGCACATAAAACCACACACTCTCCGATCCATGGAAAAACCTCTCTCCACGGAACCGATCCCTGGTACCCAAAAGGTTGGGGACCTCTGTGTTAAATCATATAAATAATAATATCTTGTTGTAGCTTTCCCAGTCGGTTACCCTCTCAATGTAGTGGATGGTGACTTCTGTAATTCTCAGTTGCTGACTGTGATAGCTAGGAATTAATGGGAGCCATTATGTAATCTTTTAGGAATCATACATCCAATCCATTCCAATTCTTTTAAGAAACACATTTCTGTTCTGGAAAGCTTGCATATTCAAGCTTTTCTTTCTTCCTGAGGAATATGATTAGTTCTGAACATTTTACTTGTGCTGCCTTTGAGTCTTGGTTAACAGAGAACTGTATCAAAGCACCTTTGCAATAGTTGACTCCCCTATATTCCTTTCTAAACTTATTTAAGCCATGTTCTATCACAGTGGTGGCATGTGTGCCAGAGGCAGCACTCAGAGTCCTCTCTGTTGGCATGTGCGCCACCGCTGCCAACAGCAGGTCCATCAGGCCGCCACCGCTGCCCAGAGCAGGAGCCCCGCCCAGCACAAAGGAAGTGAAGCGGACAACTAGCAAGCTCGAGTAGAGGTGGTAGAGCAGAAGTCACCAACCATTGTTGATTGATAGAAAAAGGAGGGGGAAGCATTTTACATGCATGCATACGTGCATGCAGGCACGGGACTGTGAGCATGCACGCACTGCAAATGGGACGGGGCTAGTGCCTGCGTGATACTCACTAGCCCTGCCCCGTTCTTGCATGGTGCAGCGCCTTGTATTTGCACCCCACAGTGCGACGGCAGCCATTTTTGCAGCTTGCAGCATGGTGGCCCATTTTTGCACCCCCAGTTTTTGCGTGCCAGAGGCGGCACTCAGAGGCGCCTCCCTGCCTCCCCCCCGGAGGGCACCACAATGCTGATGCAGCCCTGGCACTTTACGATAAATAAGTGGGTTTTGGGTTAGGGTTTGGGCACTCAGTCTCTAAAAGGTTCGCCATCACTGTTCTATCATTACTGTGACAGTTTATAATATGTATCCTTAGAAGGCCAAGTCCCAATGGCACATAGTATGTGACAATTAAGAAAATCCCCATATTTTGTAGTAAATCACTGACAAATGCTTGTCTGGCTTGCATATCAATGTAACTATTGTTTAATATTGTAAGAAATAATAGTATTGGCTGTATTGTCTTAAAAAGAGAAGGAAATAAATGTCTTTCCTTGATTTGTGCACTGAGAACATTCTATCTTGTTGACTGATCTTTTGAATTTCAAAGTCTTACCTAGACATTGATGTCATGGTCAGTCTTTCAACACTGCTGAGCTTACAGCGTGTGTGCATTCAGCCTCTGCTTTCATGCATACATTGTACCTCCACTCTAGAGAGATGGAATTCTAAGGAAGGATCTGGGGACTTTCTGAATCATAAGCAAATACATAAGCTATGGCTTTGAATAAAGAATGTTGCAAGTTACGTCCACTGCATTTTAGTTTTTTCTGGAAGAAACTCTATCTGAAGCCCTCAGAAAAGATTGTCTTGAGCTTGACAGACCAAAAATCTTTTTTTCAGTATTCCGGGATCTAGGAAGTAGGCCACAGCCATATCTATGGTTGTATTTGAGCTGCAGCATTCCAAGTTACTGTTTTTGTTTTAGCAGCTTAAATAGTGCAAAACACATCTGATGTTGGGGATAAATGTTATACTTAAAGTGAGGTGATTTAGAGTTAGTGTTCATACTGTGGTAATTTTGTGATTTTAAGATTAGAAGGGGTAATTGATGGAAAGTATGATGTAACCTTAGAGAGAAAATTCAGAATATAAATGTATCTATAACTGTTCTCAAGAATACTAGAAGCTGTTTCTTTAAAATTGCTTCTCCTCTCCTTCTTCCCCTCCCTTGTTTTCCATTTTCCATATTTCTTTTTCACTTTGTTAATATTTCTCTTTATTCTTCTTTAATTCAAAATTATTACTGTTTTTATTTCTGTTGAAAAACTTCTCCAATAAAAATTGTGTTTTAAAAATGTTCGTAGTGTGGTAGGTAGCATTCAAGCTGTTAACCTCCTTGTTTGCTCGCCACACAATTTGCCATAATTTACTCCATAAGGAGCAAAAAATTATTTCAAGGACATAAAAGATTTACCGCTAAAAAAAATATGATTGAAGACACTATTTTCTCATTTTCAGTCAAGAGTGCAGCATTGCGTGTGTTCTGTTGCCAGTGACCACTCAGTGGGACTTCTAAGTTTACGTGAAAAGAAGTGCATCATGTTAGCTTCCCGGCATCTCTTTCCTATTCAAAACATAAAATGGAGACCTTCAGATGACTACCTCGTTGTTGGTTGTACAGATGGGTCTGTATATGTATGGCAAATGGATACTGGTAAGTTATCTATGTGCAAAGGACTTGACAAAGGATTGGTTCCGAATGGGCTGTGGAGAGAATGATTCAATACCACAGTTCAATCCTATATTTAAAAAGGAGTATCATTTCTATGTTATTTTTTTCAAAAAAAGTCTCTCTTCAGAAATACCCCTGCAAACTACCTGTGCCTTTCTAATAAAAGATAAGAGGAAGAATTCAGAAGTATTTGTTCTTCATTCATCTTAAAACACATATTTCTTGCTTTGCTTTGCTAAATCTAACAAGAAATTTCTTCCTAAACTTTAATAATGTTTTTCTTTTAAACAATGCAGATAGGCCTTGCTTAATGTCCATTTGTTCATTGACCATTCAAAGTTATGAGCTTGCTGAAAAAAATGGAGTTGCAACTGGTCTTATGACTGTGGCATATGAATTTCAAGCCAATTATGACCTCCCTCTGCCCCCCGCCTCCAGCTGATCTTCATAATTTTCTAAATTAAGCCTACCATTCTGGCCTTGTGTGAGGAGACGCTGCAGCTCTGGGGCTTTTTACCACACTGTGGCTCTAGGATTGCTTCCGCCTTCACATCCCCACTCCTACTCAACAGTAGCCACCCCCAGGTCCCCCACTCCGCACTAGTCATCAATGCACTCTTGTGCAATCTCACCCAGCCCATAGTGCTTGTGCCACAACTTGCCAGCCACCTGTATACTTTCAGCACATTCTTCCCTCTGCATTCCTGCTGTTCCTCACTGGCCATCCACAGACATTCAGGCACCCTTACCAATTTAATGATCCACAATTGTGACTTAACAGCAGAAATTTTGGTCCCAATTATGATCATTAACCAAGGACTGCCTGTATTCACTGAAGAATTATAGAAGCCTGTTGAGTAATTAAGGTGCTAGGTTAGAAATCAGGAGACCATGAAATCTCCTTACAGAACTTATAGAAGCATGCCTTTTCTGTCACAGTGGCTATCTTCTGGAACACCCATGTCCTCTTAAATCAGATTGGTTGAGAATCAGGAAGTTAAAGACACACTGAGAGGTTTTTGTTGATTGTTTACACTCAACAACCACTATGGATTTTTTTCTTGCTTGTTAATTTGTTTTTTTTTTTAATTGTTTTATTTTGGTGGCTGCCTACCACAGTTGCTTTTACAAGATGGGTGGCCTTATAAATAGAATTAATGAAATGTAAGAATTCACCAAGAAAATAAATTCCAGTCTACCATCTATAAACCCACTTCCTTTGAATGTTTTTGTTGAATGGAGTTCTTTAAAGCAAATTGTTTCTGGACATAAGGAAGTTGTTTTGCTCACCTTGTAAAGTATGTGTCAGCGCTGCAATGATTTTGGCTGAAGCCATTTCTGCTTAGTTTTTGGTTGCCACAGTAATGGGAGGGGGGATGAGTGATTGTAAGGTTAGACTAAACAATAAATTGTCCTGTGGGAACCAAGGTCATTACTGCCTGGGTTTGGGCGGGCTAAGCTTTCCGTTAGAAAGCCCACCAAAGTAGTTTATTGGGGAATGTGATTAATGACATAGTGCTGGGGTGGGAAGTTCAACTTTGTAACATTATAACCTTTGGGAGGGAACTCCAGTCTTGGTTTCACTTTTGACCATGCTGATACATTGTAGCCAATAAATATGTTCTTTAAGGAAACCTCTTGCCTTGGAGCTCTGTTTTTACTAGTCTCATCTATCAGAACCATGACAGTTTGCAATGTAGTCTGCTCACAGCTAAACTGTTTTTTATCTTTTTAATCTTTTTCTTCAGGTGCACTTGACCGATGTGTAATGGGAATAACAGCTGTTGAGATCCTGAATGCTTGTGATGAAGCTGTACCGACTGCAGTTGATTCTCTCAGCCATCCAGCTGTCAACCTAAAGCAGGCCATGACCAGACGTAGCCTTGCTGCACTAAAAAACGTGGCCCATCAGAAACTTCAGACACTTGCTACGAATCTGTTGGCATCCGATTCCTCTGATAAAGTAAGGTCTTAAATTATTCTTTTAAGTAATTGCTGGTTGCACCTCAATACAGTGTAGAAATGCCTCTTCTGTGTGCTAGTGAGAGGACAGTTTTGGTGAAGATTGCAAAGTGAGGAGGTGAAAAATTCATCCTTCTTTTCCCCTTTAGTCCAACACAGACAGTTTTCCATTTCTAGAGTTTTGCTCTTTGACCTAGAATTCCAGGGATTATATTTTTTTACAATCAGGTTCCATTTTCTATAGTCTGAAATCATTTTAAACCCCTTTGTAGACTATAATTACCACACAGAATCAAATAGATTTAAACATACACTCTGTGTATTTCCACACTCATACATTTGTGTTCCTGCATACCCTCAAGTCACAAAACACATGTAGTTTTCTTAGCAACATTTTCTGAAGTAGCTTGCCATTGCTTTCTTCCTAGGGCTAGTGAGACTATCTGGCCCAACATATGCCAAAGGCAGGATTAGAACTCAGACTAATCTCTGTAGTACCATACCAAACTGGCATTCAAAACACACACTTTAAAGAAATAAACTTTGCACCATGCTTAGCTAACTTAAACTTGTTTTTCTAGATTTAGACAATGTAATCAGTGTAGCCCCCTGCTTTCCTTTCTCCTTTTCTTTGGAGTTTCCTTTCTAGATGTTTCAAAGGGAAAAACTTTTCTTATTTCACTAGAGAGGTCTTATATCTTGTGGCTTATGGGAGCAAAATCATTTCGTATTCAGGAAGGTCTTCTGAAATTTAGAAAGGAATTACCACTACATAAAGGCAGGCTGGTTGAACAGTAGCCTCCTTGGGAAGAAATAGATCCATTTAATGGTTTTAAATTTTGGCTATAGATTATAGGCTATAGATCAGTGATGGCGAAACTTTTAGAGACCTAGTGCCCAAAAACTGGCCCTGCCCCGACTCCACCCCCTGCCCCGCCCCCACTCCACCCCCCCCCCATCTCCCACCCCACCTGCCCGCAGGGCCACTCACCAACTCCAGGGCCTGCTGCAGATCGCCCAGGCAGCCCAGCAGTGCTATGGTGGTCACGCCCCAGTGCCCACACTCTGCCATAGATTCGCCACTACTGCTATAGATTGTCAGGAAGAAACTGCAACTCTGTTTATCTTAAACAAATCTGTGTGTAAACATATTTGGACAAAATTGAACTTTGCATAGCTTTATATCTAGCTTTTAATATTTTGCTAAAATCAGAACAATGTGGGAAATTTAGAAATATAGGGAATGAAATTTAAAATTCTGAGTTAATGTATTATGTTGCCATTAACATTTCCTCTTCAAAATGAAGCTACTAGTTTTAAAAAAGGTGCATAAGAAGTATGATAAAGAATCCAAAATAAATCCACATGTCCCTTTTCCTGTTACTTATATTTTACTGTCTATTGTCCCTTCGCACTCCATAGGTCAGAATTTACCTGCTGTCTGATGAATTTAGATTAGTATATTGTTTTATGAACTCAGTCCTGTCAAGGTTTGCAATTTAAAAAATAAGTTAATGAGTGCAAGAAAATATAAATAGACTTTGAGATATAAATACACTTTAGAGAAAAACACCCTTTATTTATTTTGCTAGTCTTTCAGTTGTCAATAGAACTACATAGCAGTATGCATTATTTCTTTTATATTTCACTTGTTTCAAACTTCTGGCTTTCAAGAGTCCAGCTTCTGGTCGTCCCAGCCTGCCTAAAGAACCTGAAGAAGCTGGCTATAAATCAGATGGTTTTAAGGGAGTGGAAAGAATCATAAATAAGGCTTGGCCTCTGGCAGAACAAGGCACTGTCAGTACCATGGAGAGCTCACTGTGAAAGATGACAGGTGAAAACATAAGCATAAGCAATGCTCTGCTGGATTGGGCCGTTGGCCATCTAGTCCAACAGTCTGTTTTACAGTGGCCAATCAACTGCATAAGGAAGCCAACTTGTTTCCCAGAAGATGGCTTTTGGAGGCAATCACACTGCCATGAAGACTAAGAGTCATTGATCCCCAATGACTTCCAATGAATTGGTCTTTTTTTGAAGCCAGCCAAGCTAGTATCCCTCACTATATGTCTTAGTAGCAAATTCCAAAGTTTAATGACACATTGTATATATATAAAAATTCTTACGTAACCTCCTAGTTTGTCTTTCCTTCGTCTTAAAGAGACTGGCCTTTTCTGAAGTTTCAGTCTGCTGTGTCATTGAGGGCCTCCATGTCTATGGTGGCTTATTCTCAGAATTGGGGCTACTGGATAAGGAAGAAGGGCAACATCCTCAGATTGAACAGCAGAAGAAAGAGGACGTTTGTTGAAATTTGGCAGAGTTCATCATATTCAGAGTTTTTTCCAGGAACTGTCTTCTTGATTCTGAAGACATAACACCATTTTGGTCCTTTACAAATATTTAATTGCTTTGCCTGTAGAGGCTGAGACTGTGTTGCAGCAGTGGGTATTAAGCATTACTCAAACTTAAGAGCATCATTAAATTACTAGCATCTTAAATAATTGACTTGGTTCAGCAGTTGGTTTGACCTAAGCTTCTTATCACAATATTGAATTAAATTGTAATTATTCCATTGCAGTTGATTCTTCCTTTCTTTGGATGCAGTAAAGGGTATCTTTTGTGTTCCAGTAGAAATCTTTAAGCAATCTCAATATCACTGAGAATACCTTTTCCTTTCAGATTTTCCATTTTGGTATTGTTAAACTTCTGTATAAGCAGTAGGCTACTTTTAGCAGATTTTTTTTTCACATGAGAGATCCTGTTAATTCAGTTAATTTGTTCAGTTTGGACTGTCTGGTTCTAAATTACACTGAGTGGCCCATAGTGTAACAAAAAAAAAAAATAAATCCCAACAACAACAAGATGGTGATTCCAACCAACATTAAAACTCATGAAGGTTTTTTACAAACACCCTAATCCAGGGCTTGTAAGAACAGCCAAATCTTCAAGGCCCTCCAGAGCATTATCAGGGTGGAAACTACCCAGATTGCAGTGGGGAACTTCATTTCAGAAGACAGGCACTAAGAAGCTGAACCTTCTGAATCCCAAAATATGACTCTGTTTAATTGAAGAGACCTCAAGCATACCAACCCTGTCAGTTCATATTGGCCGGATAGTCATTATGGTTCCTCAAATAACCATGATATGGTATGGCCTGGCCTATGCCATATAGGCCTTTATAGGTCATAAGTAGCACCTTGAATCACACCTGGAAGCATAGACCTTGTGGAACAGAGCTGTCACATAGATTAACAAAAACACACTCATCATTGTCCACACTGCTGCATTCTGGACCAGCTGAAATTTCTGAGAGGCGTTCAAGATCAGCCCTATATAGACTGCATGACAGTAGGTTGAACTGTGATGCAACTAGAGGATAAATAACAATCTAAGAGGTCTCACAATTCAGAAAAGGGCACACACACCTCCCCCGGAACATCAGATGAAGCTGTGCAAAAGCATTCTTGGACATAGATACCACCTGCTCATCAAGCAGGAGCTGCCAATCCAAGAAATCCCCCAGATTGTACACCTCCTTGAGGGGGGAAATGCAACCCATCCAAAATCCAAGTTGGAATCTCCCCAAATCTAAGGAGCCCTAACAACCACAGCCATTGGGTCTTAGTAGGATTAAATTGAAGGTGTCTCAAAGGTGCTTTTTCAAAAGGCAACCGGACTCTTCTTTCCTGGAGGAAGACCTTTCACTTTTCATCCAAGTAGCTTGATCGGAACCGATGAAGCTTCTTGGTGGAGAAGTGAAATGTCTTCCACAAGGAAAAAAACAGTCCCAGTTGCCTTTTGAAAAAGTACCTTTGAGACAACTATGACCTGAATGACTGAGAATGTAGCAGACTCTTCATTAAAAAAACTGAGCTGAAATTCAGCATGTGATCAATGATTCTGCTGTCATGCTGAATTTAGAACACAGTGCATTCTCAGCTTCTGTGTCTGCTTTGTGACTCTTAAGGTTGTGAAAAAGGCTTTCAATGTTTATGAGGAGCAAAGCTTGAGAACATCCCATACATAGGCTTTCTCAAGGAGACATTTCACTATATTTAACGGCCTCAGAATTTTACCAATTCTCACTGGATAACAATGATTCATTATAGATTACCATACCATAGATATTTGAAGACATAGTTATCAAGGAATCTGCAGTTCCTCATTATATAAATTTCAGTGAACAAGTACTTCAGATTTGTATAGCATAACATGATGGTGTTTTGATTATTACTTTGACAGAAGGCTTTAGGAACTGGGATAATCAGATACCAAGTATAATTAATTAGAAGTTCCATGTTCTTCAGAACAAAGAGTTACTTTGCTTTTTAACAGCAAGACAGTAGAGGGCATTAGAGATCTACTGTTTGTTAGATTCATAGTTTTAGAGATTTTAGACATTTTATATAGATTTTTTATTTGTAAAGCCCTCCACACACCTGGTTATATAGATTTTAGCCAGGTTTAAAATCAATGAAATCCACCTGTGTAAAGCTGGGAAACAGGATTGCTAGTAAGCCATAACATTACTATTTTTCTATTACACATCCTTGGATCTTTTCCCCCAGAAGCTTAAAACTAAAAAACTGAAATGTCAGAATAAAGCCAAAAATCAACTTCTTATATCTTTCTAATAATGTAAAATTCTAAAAGGAAGCTGAATTCATGTGGGGTCCAATGTTTAATATTATAGATGCTTAAGAAATTACGTGGAAATCACCATTGAGGATGTAAAATCCTATATACTATAAATGGCTTTCATTTTTAATTTTCTTTCTTTCTTTTCTTTTTTGTTTTTATGCATTTTAATTCAGTTATTTCAATTTTCCATAAAAGTTTCATTGGTGAAGCTGCTTTCATGGGGAATTGGAGGTGAGGTGTTAGAGGCATCCTCAGTTCTGCTCTGGAGTGATTCCAAATATTCTGTAACAGACTGAGAAAATCCAGACATAGTAGGAAAGTGTGTATCCCACCAGGGAAGTGGATCCCTGCTATCTATGTTTGAAAATTTGAATTCTAGGTGGCTTACTATTAAAACAACCAAATTCAACATTAAAATAACAAATATTAGCACTAAAATTGATTTTTTTATCTCAGTGTCTGGAGGCTATGGTAAGCTAGATAAGAATGAACAGGCTTCAACTCAACCCTAGGCAGGTGGACTGGCTTTGAGTATTAGTGCATCCTGGATCTATGATTTTTCTACTCTTCATGCTGGATGGAGTTGCATTATTTCAGACAGAATGGGTGCATAGTTTTGAAGGTTCTTGATGCATAGCTTCTGAAAGAAGAATAGGGAGATGCTATGACTGGAGGTTGTACCAATTATGTCCCTTCCTGAATCAGAAGACATTACACATAGTTGTTCATGGTTCAGTCACATCCTAAGTGGATTACTGCAATACTCTCTATATGATACTTGCCTCTGAAGAACATCTGGACTTTCAGTTAGTCCACAATACAGTGGAATGGGCAAGTATGGATGTGTAGTATTAATGCCCCTGTTACTGGCTCTCAGGTGCGATTCAAAATTCTGGTTAATGTTTATAAAGTTCTGGATAACGTGGGCCCAAATTTTCAAGGAATAGCCTTATTCCCATTGTTTTCACTGTCCTGATTAGTTTGGTCATGAGGGGTGTCTTCCGAGTCCTGTCAATTGGGATTGTCATCTGGCACAATCCAGAAAGTATGCCTTTTCTTTTTTTATATATAACTTTTTATTAATTTTCCAATGTTACAATTATATCTCTGAAAAACAATGTGGTGTCTGAATTACAATATGCCTTTTCTGTGAACACCTTACCACCTAGCTTTGGCTGGCTGTTATTCTCAACATATTCATCTTTTGGAAAGCCTTGAAGACCTGATTATTTCCCCAAACACGGGGCCAGGAGAATAATTGAGCTGGTAAAAGGTGTTTTCAAGAGCCACTTTTTATTACCTTTCCTGATTGTAGGTGCTAATTTTCAAAGAATACCTCGAAAGTACAAAGTTATCATACATTATAGTTGTCAGTAGTGTCTTCTATTCTTACAGAATGTAAGATACCCAACCCCAGCCCAATACATAGATAATTATTTGAGGAAAAGAAATCTGATCTTTCAGATTGCCCAGTCATTCAAGTCATGGTTGTCACAAAGTTGTTTTTTTTCAAACTTTCTTTGTTTTTTTTGCTTGAAGACGTTTCGCTTCTCATCCAAGAAGCTTCTTCAGTTCTGACTGAATGGCAGAGAATGGAAGGATTTATATTTACATTCCAATATAAATCCTTTCATTCTCCACCATTCAGTCAGAACCGAAGAAGCTTCTTGGATGAGAAGCAATGTGTCTTCAAGCAAAAACAAAACAAAACAAAGAAAGTCCAGCTGTCTTTTGGAAAAAAAAACAAACTTTGGGACATCTGATCTTTCAGTTAGGTGATTTTTTTTTTTTCATCAGTTCTAACTCCTGATAATTCCCTGCCCTTTTCTTTGCAAGATTTTTAGAAGTGGTTTGTCCTTGCTTCTTTTTTAGGACTGAGAAAGAGTGACTAATCCAAAGTCACCCAACTGGCTTTGCACCTAAGGCAGGACCAGATCACACCCCCAACAACATTGGTAGGGCAAGCTATTGTATATAAACAGGCAGCAAACCCCACACTCACTAGCGCTGATGATGTTATCTAGCCTGTAATGAGACATCTGCAAGCAAACAACCAAACTTAGAGAGTACCCAAAATAGATAAAGATCTGCAGGATGCTTATTTTCAGTAGAATATTTATTATGACTTTAAAAGTTAACATAACTGGCATTCTAGTTCTTATCTATTTTTTAAAAAGCATGAAGAAAGTAATGTCCAAGACTTGTTTTAAAAATACATACATACATACATACATACATAATATACATACACACACACACACACACTCACACATATACTGTTTCAAAACATTCTCAGTATTGACCGCTTAGTGATACCTATGTTTAAAATAGATTTATACTATTAATTTTGTGTTTTTTCAAGCATTACAATTGTATTGGGTTATTTATGTATTTAGCGTATGGCAACTGTATTGGGTGTTCCTATCCAAGATATTTACACTGTATAATGTACAAACCCATAAACAGAAAAGCATACCAGAGATAATTGTATTCTGTGTTTTGTTAAAGGGAAACTTGCCAAAATATTCGCACAACTCTCTGATGGTTCAAGCCCTGAAGACTAACTTAACAGACCCAGATGTCCATATTCTCTTCTTTGATGTGGAAGCTCTGATTATTCAGTTACTAACTGAGGAAGCCTCCAGGCCTAACACAGCCCTTATTTCCCCTGAGAATTTACAGAAAGCATCTGGCAGCTCTGACAAAGGAAGTCCCTTCCTGGCTGGCAAACGAGCCGCAGTTTTGCTTCAGCAGGTCAAAGAAACAATCAAAGAAAACATAAAAGAACGTCTTTTTGATGAAGATGACGAGGATGAGGAAGCCAGACAAAGAAGAGAGGACGGTGACCCTGAATATCGGTCTAGCAAATCAAAGCCGTTAACTCTCTTAGAATATAACCTAACCATGGACACAGCCAAGCTGTTTATGTCATGCCTTCACGCTTGGGGCTTGAACAATGTTCTAGATGAACTTTGCAGTGAGCGTCTGGGGATGTTACGGCCTCACCGTTCTGTCTCTTTTGGCTTGCTTTCAAGAGGCGGCCACATGTCTTTGATGCTCCCAGGGTATCATGAGCCTGTAGACACGGTACCCTCTAGTGATACGGACACAGAATTTCTCACAGAGCGACACATCAGGGGTACGTACGGCATTTCACGTGCAGTAACAACTCAGCACCTCCTCTCCATCATCTCCCTGGCAAACACCTTGATGAGCATGACCAATGCAACTTTTATTGGAGAGCATATGAAAAAGGGGCCAGCCAGGTACCTTTAACAACTTCATTTACTTGTTTTGCATCTCTTGTTTCCTCTCCCTTCTCCCAGAATTCCATATGACATTGCAGCCTTGATTTAGCAGTCCATAATGCAACGGACAAAATTCCCATCTTCTGCATGAATGAGTGTAAAATATTACCAATATTGCCATATAATTTATTTGTATAATCATGCCGTGATGGCATCATTTGTATCATGATATTGCTATGGGGGTCTGATTGAACAATTGGGAGTAATGGACACCTCCCTCTCCTGGGTCTGTCCACTAAATTGAGGTTATTTTGTAGATATTTATATTTGCCGGAGATCATAATCCCATAATCATATTTGTTTAATTTGTTAAATTATTTGTTGAAATGAAACAAAGATATGAATGCAGAACTAGCAATTAAGGTTTGGATTTAAGTGATTTAAGTCTTACTTGGGCAGGGAGGGATAACAATTTCCACTGGGGGAGGTATTTATTGCAAAAAAAACTTTACCCAAAATAATGGTAAATTCAGAGGTCTAAGACTCTTGTTCAGGTAAGGCTTATTTATTTAATGTCTTATTTGTTAATTAATTTCCTTTCTTACTCTATATTTTATATTATGCCATTGTCTTACCTTGTATGCCCTATCTTGTCCTGTATTCCGTCTTTAATCTTATTCACACAATTTCAGTTTGCCCTTCCCAGCCAACCCTGTTGAAAGCCACTTGTCTGTACAATCGGCTTGCTGCTCTCAGGTGTTCTTTGTAGTGCTTTGTCTTGCTCTCAAAGCTGCTGCTTTCCAGCACTCTGGGGTTCTTCACTCTGCTTCCACTTCTTGGCCCTGCCTGGCAAAATTCCTTGGCCGACAGAGTCCTCAGCAGGCCCCTTCTGCCAGTGTGGGTGGGGTGAACTAGTCCCATCAGGCTGAGCTGAAGGATTTTAAAAGTTATAACACCCTTGATAATACCTTGAATTGAATCCAGGAGTAAAGTGGCAGCTTCTTAGGGGCTCCAAGAACTGCCCATGTTGCTGCATTTATTTATTTATTTATGAGACTTATATACCGCTTTAAGTGCAAGCACTCTCTAAGCGGTGTACACCAGTAAGCAATGTATATATATATTTACATTGCCCCCAACAATCTGGGTCCTCATTTTACCTACCTCGGAAGGATGGAAGGCTGAGTCAACCTTGAGCCGGTGAGATTTGAACCGCTGACCTGCTGAACACAGTCAGCTAAAGTGGCCAGCAGTACTGCACTCTAACTGCTGCGCCACCTCGGCATTCTGCACCAGCTGAACCTTCTGGATACTCTTCAAGGGTAGCCCGATGTAGAGCACCTTGCAGGAATCCAGGCATGAGATGACCAGGAATGACTGAGCACAGGGACTCCCAATCCAGAAAGGGGAGCAATTGGCACATGGAATGCAGTTATGCTCTCCTAGCCACAATTGCCAGCTGCTTTTTGAGCAGGAGTCATGAGTCCAGGAGAACCCCTAGATTGTGCACCGGGTTTGTCTGGGCTAGTGCAATCCTACTGAGAATTAAAGATGTTAAAGTCACACAACCCAAAGGCCACTCTAAGGTTAAATAGTCATTAACAAGAGCCTTCATAAGAACCATGGCAAGATTCTTCATCTGCCTGAGTCATAGGGAAGGGCAAAAGAAATTCTGGAAGAAGGTTAATATTTTCCAGAACAAATGAAGATTTGAAGAAAACAAATGGGATAGAAGATCAAAAAAAGGGGGGGAGAGGGGGAGGGAAGTACTGCAGATCAGTGTAGATAAAGTGGAAGTTTCTAAGATGTCTTTTTAAGATACCCGACACAAATGTGAAAGTATATACAGTCTCCTTTATGTGCTTAGTTATAAATCCACAACTATTTTATTTGTAGGCCACCTAGACCAGGGACTCCTGACCTCGGAAGAGTGAAGACTTCTACTCCAATTGCTAGTCCAACAGCACAAGGACTGATTAAACAAGGTAATGGTCATCAGGCTTTTGATAATTTGTAAGCAACTCAACTGTAGTTAGATCTTGTTTGCATCTTTTCAGTTCTGAAATACAAGCATTTTATTGAATTTGGATTAGAATTTAGACTGCTTTTGCAAAACCTGAAATGGAAAATATGTTGCTTTTGGCAATGGGACTGAGTTGAAATCTTTGATAATTGTGAGAAATTGCTAATATCCATGAAAGTGAAGTCTAATTTCTATATTCAATATTTGAACCCATAAATATTTTTTTTAAAAAAACTGACCACGCTCACTTTTGGGAATTTTACTTTCTATCCAACTTTATGTTGCATTCATCCATCATTCTCTTTCAATGCCTAATAGGAAGTATGGATTTGAAAATATTTTCTGTTGCATTTTAGAAGTAGATTCAGCTTGTTTTGGGGTGAAGCTGGCAGGTGACAGCTTAATTTATCACAGATTGCAATTCAGTTGATATTTGACACATCTGGCGGGGAAATAGCAACTGCCTTGGTCTGATTTTTGCTAAAGATTTGTTCCATTTTTTTATGTTTATTGAAGTAATTACAGTTCCTTTTAATCCAGTAGTAACCTTAAGGGAGAAAATATTAGGTTCAAAATGTTCTCTTCCCTTTGCCTTTTTTATTATTGATGTAGATGAACTTTCTCTGGTGTTTAGCACCTGTAAACTTGTCCTACCCTCATTTTTTAAAGCAGTTTTTAAACTGCAGTTTTTACAGCGTTTGCAAAAAATAAAGCTTAAATATTTATTTGCATGCATGTAAATTATTTATAATAACTATAGTAAACATTACAAATGCAATCCTCAGCAAAATTAAATCCATTAAAAAAAATCCAAAAAAGCAGTGCTAAACAATACATAAACCTAATGAATAAGAACATAATAATACAATATCTGTAATTATGGAAAGTTCTAAACCAGTTAAAGGTCAAGTTAATAATAAAGGAAACCTTTAGAACAGTTTGAAGTTTCATCGAATCAAATTTCTACAAACAGAAACATCAGCGAAAAGGTCTTGTTGATTTGGGACCACCTACTCAACTGCTCTGATAGATGGACAGAAAAATAGCTCTTTTCTGATATTGTAGGCACTTATCCAAAAATGAAATGAAAGTTCATTAATATATTGACGAAAAAAACTAGCTACTGTTTTCATAAAACGTTTCTCATTGATGTTTTTTTTAAAAAAAATATGTTATAGAAATTACTTGTTATATTATACATTATATATTATATAACATTAAGTGTTATATAATGCCAACTAAATGTCAAGAATTGTTAAGATTTTAGTCTATGGCACATCATGCAAGCAACTGCAATGGCCCAAGTATATCCCCATCTCCAATCTTTTATAATTCCTCCCCCCCTTCCGAAATCTCATGGAATCTCACATGATTTCAGCAGCCTCATGACCCTGATATTATGTTAAGTGTTTTGTGGTTTTGATATTCTTGGCAAGATCTTGCATTATTTAACCATTTTGCAAGATTTCATCTATTGCTCAGTGGTTGTTGTTTATTGTTTAGCAGTGGCTTGGGCTATCATAGATGTCTTCATAACCATCGCCATGTTGCTAGCTCCTGTTCAGTCTTCACTAAGCAGATCTAAAACTGGAAGGTTAGGAATTTTTTGGGCCTCACAACTTTCAGTTTCATTGCTCTCAATTTCCCCAATAAGAATAGAATAGAATAGAATAGAATAGAGTAGAATAGAATAGGAATAGAATAGAATAGAATAGAATAGAATAGAATAGAATAGAATAGAATAGAATAGAATATTCTTTATTGGCCAAGTGTGATCAGACATACAAGGTATTTGTCTCTGGAAGCTCTCAGTAAAGTACAAGTAAAGTAAGGACAAGTGATTGGGTTTCTCCATCATTCATACAATATAGAATCTTTATCCCCATTACCAGGACTTTTTTTTCTAACCAAAGTTAACCCCTTTCAGTTGGCAGGTGTCTATTTCTCCAAAAAAGAGAAATTGGTTATTTAATGATTTTGCAAGTGATGTTAGTACTAATCCCGATGCAGAGAATATAGAAAATGCAGTTCCATTACTTTGCTGCTGTTATGTTTACATGCCTTTTCATTTCTTCATTTTTATTGTTGTAAACTGCCTAGAGTAGCCCCATGGCGAGATAGGCAGCAAATAAATTTAAGAAACAAACAAATAAATAGAAAAATCAGCAACTTGACTTGTATTCATTAAATTTGTAATCCAACTGCCTTCTACTCAGAGGCAATTGTGTTTTCATGCCAGGGAAGTTGATAAATTACACATGTAACTAGTTAATAAAAAGTTTATCATTCTTTGTGTATCTGTATAATAGCGTGTGCTCTAGACAGAGGGACCTCTACTGGCTCTTTTTACCTTTTTTTTTTTTCATTATGCCTCCTCAGTTTGAAATGCTAAACAGTACAAAGGAAGCAAACTAGGTATCTGTGATTTTCTATTTCCTTTTTTTTCTTCCTGAAATATATTAAGGCTTCTGAAATAGTTTTATCCTACAGATAGTTTAAAAGCTGACTCAATTGAAAGCTTTATTTTACTTATTTTGCTTTTAGTGAATAGAATAATTCAGTGTAAAGTAAATGTGATACAAGTACCTGAAAAACAGAGACATAATTTCGGTGGCATGTTTTGTAAATATATATATATATATATATATATATATATATATATATATATATATATATATATATATATATATACAATAAAATCTCATCTCTAACTCTCTTACTGGGAATTCATGTTAAGCTTCTGGTTAATTGCTTGTTCTCCAATCTAATAATAATAAAAAAAAATCAAGGACATTAACACTATTTTTGGTAAAAAAAATAATAGTAAGAAAATAGCACTGCCATATATTTCTCTCGGTTTGTATCTTTTAAAAAAAAGTGTCCCAGATGACACGTTCAACTTAAATGTTTCTTAATCATCTCTCTATTACTCTGTACTGCCTTTGTGATATATATATATATATACTATTTTGCTGGCTTTGTTACTTGTAGCGCATTTAAGACACGGTGAACAGAGCCTGCATGTAATCGATTCAAGCAGTGATTATTTTCAGGTTGCCGGAGAGTCCAATGCTGCTGCCCTGCTATACAAAGCCAGCTGTTGTTGTTTTCAGTTGCATTGATTGGTATAAACAGTGACAGCCAGAGAGGTTGGTTTCTTCCCCCACTCGGGTCACAATAAAGCAAGCCTAAATATTGCACAGTAAACTTTCAATCTGGATCTCATGTGGATATTTGGGGAAGATTTTTGCATTTATCAATCTGAATCCTCTTAACAGCCCTGCTGAACTCTCTCGCCCCCCCCCCTTCTTTACATGAAGTGCATTTAGCTGGTTTGCACATGCCACCGTGATGCATTTGTGTGGAAATCATACAAGCAGCAATTTGATGCAGATGTCTTAGAGTAACAAAAGTAGTTCACTGCATGAAAACCAAACATACAATACAGGAAACAATACCTAATCTGTTCTGGAGTCTGAGCCAATTGTCATTCTGCAATGGAATAAAGGAGAGGGATTAATTTGAAGATGCTTGTGCATGGCATATGGTAATTCTCTGCAAGAAGGAAGTGTCAGCGAGCGACCTCTAAATCTTAACATTGACCTCTGGTTGTAGAATGGTGTGTGCCATAAGGTCTGCCTGCCCTTTTATATGATAATTTGATTCATGAAGCATTAGTGAAGCTATAAAGTTTATGGCTGCCTTTGGACTGCCTTCTCGTTTAAAAAAAAATTAAGAACCCCCTCCACAATTCACAAAATGTCCATCATAAAATTAAGGAAGTTTTAATTTCGCAAAAGCTATTTTTTTAATCATCAGTTTTTAAAGAGTGAATTACCTAGTCCTGAAGAGATTAGTTGTCAAAAGGTTTAGTTTGTCTTGCTCTCCAACCAATTCTGAAAAGCCATCATTCAAAACTGTGCTGGTTTTGAAGTGGTCATAATATGAATAACTACTAATATCTGACTTGTTAAAATAATAGTTCTGTGTGAAGGACCTACGCAAGTCATACTGAGATGTATTTTCTGTCAGTGTGCACAGGTTCACACATTGCACTAACTTACCATACTGTGCTTTGGATGGTTGAGTGTGTTGTGTGAACTTACCAGTGTGATTTGTCAGTTAAAACAGAGGCCACATGTTTGGGGGATAATTAAAGAAGCACCAGAAACGATGGTTTTGCAGAGTTTGAGAAAACATAGCATACATATCAACAGAAAGAGGTTTTTTCCCCCCTTTTTCTTTTTGACGTCAAAGGGTCTTTACTCTCTTCATTTGCCTGTCTTTAGTAGTTTTAAACCTTTTCTAGGATTTGTTCTACATCTATTGATTTTTTTTTAACGCAAACCCTTTGAATAGTTGAAAAACAGGCAACTGTTGTCCATTTTGGACAAAAGGGTTCTCTGCAACCTATTTCCCCTCCCCACCCCAAAAAACCAAACCAGATTGGAAGTCTCAAAATGCCTTGGGACTTCCTTGTGCCCATCCTAATGGATGGCTAAAGTTAAGCCATACAATTGTTTACTCAATAAGTCATTGTTAAACAAACCACAGCTTAGATGCGTCTATGAACAAATGCCCTTGCAACCTCTGAATTCAGATCTGGCAGACGGTGTCTGCGAATCACATTCTGGGACACTCAAGTAACCAGCTAATTTATAAGTGACTTATTTTTTCTCTCCTGGATATACATTTCTCAAAATGGTTCTTTTATAGTGTTTCAGTTAATACAGAGATTTGGTTTTACTCTGTTCTTTAATAATACTAACCAATTTTGTTTTCATTTCTGGGAATGTCTCTCTTCATTTTCCTCTTTATTTCTTCTTTCCTACTCAAGTTGCTCCTGCTGTTTCTGCTAGTACTGAAGCTGATCACTCTGGTTCTGGCCCTGCTCCTCCTTTACATTCCTGTTTCTTAGTAAATGAAGGTATTCTGACCACTGTTCTTTCTACTTTGCCTTTTTTCTTCTTTTGTCTGACTTGCTCTCTGGTTGTGTTGTATGCCTCTCTTAATTCACTTAGCAACTTTTATTTAAAACTAATCAATTCATTTACTTAGCAATCTTTATACTTCATTTAGTTTGTTAAAACTAATTCATTTTTTTCTGCCTTTGCAGGCTGACCATGTCTTTTTAAAATGCAGCACTGGGTATTAGATTATGAGATTGCAGAGATATTAAAGTTTCACTAGAAGGGAATATTGTAGCTCAGGGTTGAACTGTGGGTTTTTGGTGCTTTCTGAGCTAGGTTGTTTTCTTGCACATGTTTCATTATCAAACGAGGTAACTGAGGCACTGATGACATTGCCTAGTTGGGTAATGAAACATCTGCAAGAAAACAACCAAGTTCAGACACCATAATATTTTAAAGAAAATTTCTAGGCTTGATTGATGGTATGGCATAGTAAACTGAGATGCAGAATGTATGAATAGTTTTAGAAAAACTTTGCATTCTGCAAGTCTGTTTCAGAGTTACATTTAACCAATATATACCGATTAAATAAAAATTTAAAGTGTGGTGTTTCAACAAATAAAAACTTCACTTTGTCAGGATTAGTAGAATCAAATTGATTCTAAAAGAAGGTGTATTGGTTTTAAATGATTTGTAAAACACACACTCTGTGTGTATGTGTGTATGTGTTGGCGTGTAGATTGCTTCCAATTGTGTCTGTCTCCCAATGGAATGGATTTTAAGGAGTACCTCCCAGAACAGATTGGGAAGACTGAAATTGACGTAAAGAAACAGGATGCTGCATGTCACCCTATAACAGTGTGTCTCAACCTTATCAATCTTAAGATGTGTAGACCAACTCCCAGAATTCATAGTGCCTGGGGAATTCTGGTTGTTGAAGTCCATACATCTTAAGATTGATAAGATTGAGACATGCTGTTATAGGGTGACATGGCAGCATCCTGTTTCTTTATCTCAATATGGTGTATTGACTGATTTTCAATTATTTATGTAAATTATTCTTATTCAGAATATAATCATTTTACCAAATAATAAAGATGGGTTTTACAATTTAGGGCCATATTATATTTATCACTTTCTTGTCATGCCAAGAATGATTTAATTAAGCTACTGTTAGAACCAAGCTTTCCTCTAATCAACAGCAGTCCAGTCGCCCTCTGGAATAATTACAGAATCTGTTATGAAGTAGAGTTGAATGGACACCCTTATAATTTTGGGGTAACATCTCCCAGTTTTACTAGGATAAGAAAGTTTTCTCAGAAATGTCTAAGTCAGGGGTTTCAAATTTAAATAATTACAAGTGTTGCATGAGTTAATAATTAAATGTCAATCTATAATCTATAGCCCTACAAATGTTGCACAGTTGTAACTCTCAACATCCCAAATCTGGCCAAGTGATAGATACACCATCAGAAGAGCAGATGGTCTACTATAGACAGAAGTTTTTCAAACAGAAACTTCAGTTTTTCAGAACAAGAAATGCTCACTCGTTCTCTTTCCCCCCACCCCCTGTCCTTTCACAGCTAGTATTGACACAGCTCATTGCTTGTCTATGCTTAGCTCTGAAGGCCCCAAAGAAACACTTCCTACATTCTTCCTCAAAGGAACCTTATTGCCCTCTTCCACAGAAAATCTCCAAGTTACATCAGGATCCCTTTAACAATGACATGGGTCAAGGCTGAGAAAAGATTGTTTGACTTCCTTCCTTCCTTCCTTCCTTCCTTCCTTCCTTCCTTCCTTCCTTCCTTCCTTCCTTCCTTCCTTCCTTCCTTCCTCCCTCCCTCCCTCCCTCCCTCCCTCCCTCCCTCCCCCCCTTCTCAGTCTTTTTTTTCTTTTCTCTCTTTTCACTTTTTTCACTCTTTCACAGATGTCCCCTTCCCTCAAATCCAAGTTGTCAAGACGTAAAGAGGGAAAATAAGCCCCTTTGCTTCTCCTCCTGACTCCTCTCCAAGGAGTAGTAGAGGTTAACCAAACATAGTGCAAGTACCTCATGACTCAGGTTCATAGGAACACAGCACTAGCAACCAAGTCCCTGAGACAATGCGACAACATAGCTTGACCTTGCACCTCCCCTGGTGATGAAAACTGCTCTGATGCTTCTGCTTCTTCAGCTCCTGAAAGCAGAAGGATGGCAGCGGTGACTGTTTCCCTCCTTCAATGGAGATTCTCAATCATTCAGGTCATGCTTGTCCCAAACTGAAGAAAGTTCTTAGATGAGAAGCAAAACATTTTCAAGGAAAAATCCAAGAAAATCCAGTTGCCTATTAGGAAAGCACCCTTGGGACTCTCTTTCCTTTCTTTGCCATCCAGACCTTCTCCAAATGGGTCACCCAGTCAGAGCTCCAGCCACTGAAGCTGGACAATTCAGCTCACCCTTCAGATATCTTCTAAAGTTGGCGTTCCCTGCTGATTTCTCTTACTGAGATGGGGAAATTGGATCTGCCTTTGTGTTTATACTTCTTGTCAACCTGATCCTATCTTTTCTTGGACTGAAAAGTTGCTGGAGCTTCAGTTTTTAAAATTATGAATAAAAATAGTACAACATCTAGACTCCCGTATATTGGCACAGCAATAAATTTATTGTGAAATCAATTCCTTTAAAAAAATAATGGATTGTTGGATATGATAACCAGCACTGAACTTACACTTTTAATGGTTTATTTAAACATTGAATATAGCAGTATATGTCTTTATCTTATAGATTTAATAGCTAGTGTACAGTTATACTTAGAGCATGCTGTGTATTGTTTAATTTCTATCACATATTACCTATAATACTGCTCATAAATTCCCACTAAATAGATTTATATTATAGTCTAGTTTATTTATTTGTTATTATGGTTCATCACACAGTTTAGACTGGATTTGGCATTTTTATCCAGCTATTAATTATTATTTTATACCTCTTTTTTATCTTCATAAATTAAGGCAGGTACATGCCTAATATTCCTGCCTTCTGTTTTCACCACAACAGCAACCCTTTTCAAGATACTGAAAAGACTGATTTCTTATCTTTTATTATAATTTCAGACTAGTAGTCCTGAATGTATAAAGGAATTTTAGAGAGGGAAGAAAAAGTGACTTAGACAATATTTGGAAGTATCTTTTAGCCCTATTGTTGAGGGCTAAAAGTATGAGTATGTAAAGTGATCTGGCACATTCTTAATCTACAAAGATTCTTCATTGCTTTATCTTTGTGGGTTCATAGAACTAGGGATTTAAAACCATGAGAAAGCTACCTTTCCCTGAGATGTAGAATGTATCAGGAAGAGAGTTAGAGGGCATGTATCTATAAAACTCTATCTTCACCTCTAATGGAACCTCATCTCTTTCTGCCCCTAACATTAATCCTCAACACCCTATACAAAATATTTCATTTCCTGATAACTGCACAGGTAATCTGTGCAGCTGCAGGTGCAGGATAGAATTGCAGTCATTGTGTTTGTGTATTGCCTTGCTAATCAAGTTCCATCTGTAGATGGAAAAGTAGTTCATTGATTGAAACCCTGATTTTTTTTTTTTTTTAGTGGAAAAGGAGACCTCTTGTTTTAGCATGAGTCTTATGCTAGTCAGTTGAGACATCTTGATATTTTCAACAGTGGCAATTCTTCATTGTGAATAAATATTGTTAGGTCAATCTCATAGACAGATTTGGGATAGTTTGTCACTGTTCTTCTTTTTCCTATTTTCTTATCAATTCACTTTATGATCATAGATTGGATCCTGTAGGTACTGGAGAACTATCAGTGGAAGAAAATAGTTTTGAATGTTCACCCCATGTCCCCATTTATAATTGTTGCCATACAATTTGTTCTTGTTTTTAAGCAGAAAACCCAGTTCATAGATTTAGATATCCTGTCTTAATACCAGGGGTGCCCAACTTTGACAACTTTAAGACCTCTGGACTCCAACTCCCAGAATTCCTCAGCTACCCATACTAGATGGGACATTTTGATAGTTGAAGTCCAAAAGTCTGAAAGTTGCCAAAGTTGGTCACCCCTGCCCCATAGCATTAACAGTTGGATTCATTTATGTGAGGGAAAGAGAAAGTGGACTGCATCCATTTATAAGTTCTCAAAATTAATCAGAAATTACTGGAGAATTACATTTTATAATGATTTTTTTTTCTATGTCAACCCTTCTTCAAAATCCCCATTAAACAAAAAGTTTTTTAAACTTGCTTACTTACTTACTTATTTATTTAATATAGCCTCCTATCTCAGCAAATGACTCTCTCTCTCTCTCTCTCTCTCTCTCTCTCTCTCTCTGTGTGTGTGTGTGTGTGTGTGTCTGTTTATGTATAGAGAGAGAGAGTGTGTGAGAGAGAGAATGTAATGGTTACAGTTTTCATTTTTTTACATTTCTATTCATGGTGTCTTTGAGCTGCAAAAGCTTTTCTCAGATGGAAGTGCATCTTTGGATCTAGGTTCAATCTTTTTATAGCAGTGGCATCTGAGGTTAGATTTTGACAGGACTATAGATCCCGATCTCCAGTAGGAATGCGGTAAGGAGAATGGAAAAAAAAAATTAAAAAGTATGCTGTTGATTTCTTCATGCACCACTTTATCTCAACAATAAGACAGTGGCTTAAAAACAGATTGTAAATGTACAATTTTGGAAAGATTATTAGAATAATCTATTTATTGAGTGAAATTGGAAGTTGCTGTTTCTGAAAGGTTTTCAGTCTAAAATTCAGTAGAGGTAAGTAGCAGTAATTTGTGTCAGGTAAGCAAAGATAAGTAATATTCATATTTATATATATATGTATGGGTGTAGGTGTATGTATGTGTATGTGTATATGTGTGTGTGTATGTATGTATGTATGTATGTATGTATGTATATGTATATATATATATATATATATATATATATATATATATATATATATATATATATATATATACCAGAACCAGAAGTGGATCAATATACCCACCGAGGTCCACGGAAGAAGGCAATGCTCCTGAGTGGGAGAACACACGCAGGAGCATATCCATCAGAGACTACCCTGATCCACTCAATATACCCCCTCCTCCGAGCACACATGCGCACAACCCCATCAAGGAAGATCAGATGGATCCCGGAATAGAACCAAAAAAGGGGATAAGTGTAAGCGAGTGAAAGCAACCGGCGTATGCTAGCAGAAAAAAAGTGATCGAACCCAAGAAAAAGAAAATAGTAACCTCGGAAGATACCAACACAGCAAGAGATACGTGTCCTTTAAGAACAAACCAAGTAGAGAAAACAGACGGACTGATGACTAGATCGAGAAGCCGGGCGCAGAGCCATCCGGCAATATAAAAAGTAATCTTGTATTATGTTCTGATGATGTCGGCAGTGTTGGCCGACGAAAGCTTAGCTTTAGCTTGTGTATTAAACAGTTTTTGTTTTAATATTATCCTGGTGCTCGGACTATTTTATTTCTATTATATATATATATTAACAAATAAAAGAAAAAAAGTTATATATATTATATATATAATAGAAATAAAATATATGCATATATATGCAATGAAAGTAAGTAAATTCGAACACCAGGATAATATCAAACTAAAAACTGTTTAATACGTATATATGTGTATGTGTGTTTATATATATATGTGTGTGTGTGTGTATGTATGTATGTATGTATGTATGTATGTGTAGATACATATTTTCTTTGGAGAGCAGGCAACAGAATTTTATTTTTAATGTGGGCCAACATTCTCACAGTAAAACTGACAATAAAGGTTATCTTATCCATCTTATCTATACCCCAATAAAACTGAACAACAGTGCATTATAGTTAATATGTACTTCAATTAACTGATTCCCTTAAGGATTAGAAAGATTACTATTTATTCACTTGCGGTGATACGTTGCTTTTAGCTTTCTCATTTAGTGCAGCTTCAGCCTTATTTATTCTGAAAAGTATTTCTTGTATTTGGACTACCCATTGCAGGTTCTTAATAGACCAGTGTTCTTATGGTTGCTAGTAAATATAGTGGTTTTCCACTACCTCTGCGATTGTGATTGTTGTGTTTTGCCTGTGTCTTAACAGGATGGAGTCAGCTTGCTGCTATGCATTGTGTTATGCTCCCTGACCTGTTGGGCCTGGATCAATTTAGACCGCCTCTCCTTGAAATGTTGGCTCGTAGATGGCAAGATCGATGCTTGGAGGTACAGTTTTTTTATTGAAGATGGCAGTTAGGGAAAAAAATGAATCTCTTGGCCAGCACAGGGAATACTATTTTTACACTGGATATATTGTTCCAAGAAAAGTGTACTATAATTCTGGTTTAAAGATTGGATTTATATATATAGGTATATGCAATTCAATTTGCGGGTCAGTTTTGTAAAATGGAGAGTTAACATCCTTGTGTGACAACAGTATATTCTGGCTAAATGGGAAGATAGATTTCAGGGAACTGGAAGGCACAGTGGATTTTTTTATTTTTCTCCAGCCACTGGATGTCACCGTTGTTCCATCAAAACATGTGGAAGTTTTACTCAATACTGAAAGATCCTGTTTCCATAAACCACACATAGCTTCCAATATTCGAATTAAGCCACAGCTCGTTTACTGTTCATGCATCAGCAGTTCAATAAAGCTGCAAATTTATTTTTAATACTTTTTGATACTCCACTTAATTTTAAAAGTAAGATGGAAGGAGGAGGAGCATCTGTAGAGAACAGAACACTTTATATCACTGTGCAGGAAATTGGTCTGATTGTACATCCACGAAATGTTGCCTTTAAGGGTCATTGATGCTCTCTGAGTTTGGTTGTTTTCTTGCAGATGTTTCATTATCCAAAGTAGGTAGCATCATCAGTGCACTGATGACGTTACCTAGTTTGGTAATGAAACATCTGCAAGAACACAACCGAGCTCAGAGAGCACCAAGTATCCCTCATTTCAATCCTGGGCTAAAAATATTCCCCTCTATGTTGCTTTTAATTCAGATTTTTTTTTCCCTCTCGGAAATATTTTTAAATATTTAAGCACCTAATGTTGACAAAGATAAATCATTAAAAAATATAGGATTCACATTTGTAAGAAGGATTTGGCTGTTTTCAAATGCTAGACTTAGCTTTAAAAGACATTCTATTTTAGGCCAGTTTCTAGGGTGAAAGTGCTGAGTAACTTCCCTAGCTGGCAAATGGAGTTGGCTTCCCCTATTTTTGATCAATGACTATCTGGCCTTGACATTACATCTGTGCTGTTATGGCAAAAAGAAGAAAGAGAAAAAATGTTGATTGTGCAGCTTTAAAAGAAATATATGAGGAGCCAATCTGTGACATTTACAGTAGGGGGTTGAATTGGCTTCTCAGCTTAATTGAAAAACTATTGCTGACGTTGTATAGTGATAGTGAAATCTGTGTGGACTAGGAAATTTGTCTCTCTGTCTCCACTTATCAGAGAAACTGGCTTGGGAGAGTAACAGTTGGAATCTTTGGGAATCGTTCGGCAAAAGCTGATCTCAATGTAAATGAGTATTCCTGATTATTCCAAAAAAAAAAAAAAACCCTTTTGGTTACTCTTGCTATCAAGTCCCATGGTAAAATGGCAGCATAATATTGGGAAGTATTTTTACTATTAAAAAAAGTGTTGGTGTTCTGTGTCAGTGTGGTTCTCTCCTCAGCATCTCAACCATATCAGGGAAGTAGCAAAATGTCCTATTCCTCCAGTGTTCAAATTTATGACAAATTTTTTTCTTTTAGGTATCTTATCAAATACAGCATAGCTTTGCTCTCAGGTTAGTTGCTAGTTAATTGTTAGTTAGAACTGTGGTGGCCCAGTAGTTAGAATGCAGTATTGCAGGCTAATTCTGCTGACTGCCAGCAGTTCGATCCCGACCAGCTTAAGGTTGACTCAGATTTCCATCCTTCTGAGGTTGGTAAAATGAGGACCCAGATTGTTGGGGGCAATAGGCTAACTCTGTAAATTGCTTAGAGAGAGCTGTAAAGCACTATGAAGCGGTGTATAAGTCTTAAGTTCTATTGCTATTGAAGGAGAGAATATAGACTAGACTAGACTAGACTAGACTAGACTAGACTAGACTAGACTAGACTAGACTAGAATAGAATAGAATAGAATAGAATAGAATAGAATAGAATAGAATAGAATAGAATAGAATAGAATAGAACAGAACCTTGGAGGTCTTCATGCAGGAGAACCTATGCCATCTCAGACAAGTGACTGTCTAGTCTCTTCTTAAAAACATCCAGTGATGGAGCACCCACGATTTCTGGAGGCAAGCTGTTCCACTGGTTAATTGTCCTCGCTGTTAGGAAGTTTCTCCTTAATTCCAGGTTGCTTCTCTCTTTGGTCAGTTTCCAACCATTGTTTCTTGTCCTGCCCTCTGGTGCTTCGGAGAATAATTTGACTCCCTCCTTCTTTGTGGCAGCTTTGTAAAGCGGTATCTACAAAAACAAAACAAAAATCAGGACTCTGGTAACACCTGTTTCACCCCACCAATGTCCTTAAAAGGCATGAACAGCTTTAGATGTATTAAGGCAAGAAAATATTTTACAGTCATGGTTTCAATACTTACAAATAGTGGATAGGTGGACTGTAGATAAGAAGGAGGGAATAACATTAGAAGATGAAAATTTGGTAATTCAGATTAAAGATCAGAATCAGGCTCATATAAAAAGAATCTATAATGCTTTAATAGAATTAGATTCAGAAACAGAACTGGTTAAAGACTATATGATTAAATGGGCTCAGAATTTCCAGGAACCGATCCCATTGGATTTATGGGAGATAATTTGGATCAGAAATGTTAAATTTACACAAGCTCAAAACTTGAGGGAAAATTTTTATAAAATGTTTTATAGGTGGTATCTAGATCCTAAAAAATTATCTTGTATGTACTCTAATTTACAACCCAAATATTGGAGATGTGGCAACACGGATGCGACTTATTTTCACGTTTGGTGGAATTGTAAAAAGGTAAAGGCTTTTTGGATTATGATTTGGTGGAACATTCAAAAGATTTTTAAAAGGAAGATAAAGTTTACTCCTCAATTATTTTTATTGGGTATTTTTGTGGATTTAGACGATAAAGAAACTATTTTAATGTTGAATTTATTAACTGCAGCAAGGTTATTGGTAGGTTTAAATTGGAAGAAAGATTTGTTGCCTACTTTAGAAGAATGGATATTTAAAGTTTCTAATTTTACAGAAATGGCAAAGATTTCTGCTTATTTAAAGGATCATACACAAGAAAGATACATTATTGTATGGAGAAGATGGATAGATTATATTCAGAAGAAGTATGGGACTATAAAGTTTCATTTATTTTATGAGTAAATTTTATAGTAAATGTTTTATAAGAGATTTGTTTATGATGATGTAATTTAAGGGGAGTTAAGGGCTAAGTATGATTTTTTTTCTTTTTCCTTTTCTTTTTTCTTTTTTTTATTGTAAATTGTTAATTTTGTTATTAATAACCCTGTACTCTGCTCTGGGAAGTGAGGGGGGGGTTGAGGGTGGGTGGGTGGGTGAGTGGGTGGGTAAATAGGTAGAATAGGATAATATAGATATGGTAATTTACGGAGAGGTGCTGCTTGGGCATTTCCTCTACGCTGCATTTCTGTATCTGAGAGGGATGAGAGGGGAGGAAGGTGAAGGGAGGAAGTAGGATGGTAAGAGGAGAAGGGGAGGGGAAGAGAGTAGTGAGGGGAGGAGAGAAAGAGGAGGGAAGTAGGGAAGGTATTAGAGAGGGTGGATGCAGCTTGGGGGGAGTGAGCAAGCGGCACCTATGGTTATGATTATGAATTTATTTTATTTTGTAAAGTGAATTTTGTTGTATAATTATGTTGGATAAATGGAAAATAAAAAAATAAAAAAGGCAGGAACAGCTCATCAAAGCTTATACTTTGTACATTAGGAAAAGTTCTACTAGATTCCCTCTGGTTAGTTACTATTAATGTTTATTTTTTTTAATTGCCTCCCTATGTTGCATCTTTTTTCTACAATTACTTCAGTACTTTAATTGAACCAATGCCTATTCTGTTTGGATTTTCAGGTAAGAGAAGCTGCACAAGCCTTACTGTTAGCAGAGCTGAGGAGAATTGAACAGGCGGGCAGGAAGGAAGCCATCGATAACTGGGCTCCTTATTTACCTCAGTACATGGACAGTGTTATATCACGTGAGCATTTTCTGCACTTCTTTGTTAGTTGCTGTGGGACATAAAGTAATAGCAAAACAAAAGGGCCATTTCTGAATATATGCGGTTTAATTGAACTTCAGAATTAATAGGTCACGATAATGCAAAAAGGTGAGGAAAGGTCAGGAATGTTTTAAATGGAACGATTCCAAAATACCTTTTAAAGGCAGATCTGGAACTATTTCTTTGGGAAATAGCCTTAGTGTGTGTGTGTGTGTGTGTGCGCGCGCGCACGCTCAAAACAATATTTTAAAATACAGATACTTCTTATGATCCAACATCTTCTAAAAAAGACACTGAAAATTTCTTTAAATGTATACATTTAAAAAACCATTGTGTCTCTTGGATTATGCCTAATTTCAAAATTCAGCAATATTTCAAGAAAGCAATAATACCAGTTTAAACTTAGTTAGTATCCTAAAAGAGATCATTAAAACTCTACATATTAAAACTTCAATTCAGGAAACCACAGACGCAATGAACAAAAATGTATTTTGGATTTTGCTCCCAAATAACAGAAAAAGATATTTCTCTCCTTTTTGGAAACCATCCACATAAATGACATATCAATTCATGTCATCTTCATAATTACATAATTGTACAAAAGAAGTAAGCTGATACAACTCATGTTAAACATCATTTGTATGAATTGTGTATATTTGGATTTCATGGATTTTCACATTCAACAGTATTTCTACTCAGTGGCCAATGAAACCGAGGTTTTACATAGCATATTTCAGAATCTCTTTTAAGAATATACTAGCAGATTTCAAAACTGCCCATTCTCATCTCCATATTATGTCTTCAGTGAGCGTACTGAAACTACTCAGATAAGTATAATGTTCTGTATTTTTTAATATGTATCTAACAGGCATTTTATTTATTGGCCTTTATTCAAGAATACAGTGTATGCAAATACAACTTGTGTTTTGTGACATGTGCTTGCCTGAAGTGCCGAGACTCTGCTTTTCTAACAAATCTTTGCACTCTTGGCTTCCTTTGCAAGAATATGCTTTGCTCTTGGAGCTTCCTATCTCAATTATCCTTTTAGACATGAAGTGTTCTTTGTATAGATAAGATCATCTTTTCCTTCGCTGTCTGTCAGTTTAGAGGTGGAAAAGATTGCAAATTGAGATCAGTTTTTGACTAGTACCCCAATGGCAATTCCATGGCTACGTCTCTCATTTATTTTGAATTAAGTTAACTTTATGAATTAACCTTGGGTATGAAACCTTCATCCACCTCAAAACTTAAAACTCATAAAGTAATTCTTCTATGAAACCATTTCAGTTAATTTATCTTGTCCCTTTTTTGCTTGGTTGGAATTTGTTTAATTTCCTTTTGTCCAGACTGCTTTATGTGTTAAATTTGAATTGATTTTTCTTTGAAAGATGTCTCATGATCTTGTTAAGTCTAAATGACTTATATAATGTAGATTTATATAACATCATTCTGAGCTGTTCTCAAAATACCCTGAATATTCCTTGGTATTCGGTTTAATACAAAGGCTGGCTGCATCAGCTACCATGATAACCCCTCTATGATAGGAAAGAGTCACCTTGAGCTTCAGGCATATCTTTTTCCCTTCTCTGATGCAGTTAGAAGATGGAGAGTAAAAGTTGTAATTTCCATTTGTTTTTACAATTTATGTTATGTCTGGAAAATGGTAGCTGATCTTAACTATGCTGTGAAAAGAAACCAGCTTCTGAACCCATAAACAGTTTAAGACTAGCCCTACATTATTAGCCACAAGATATCATTAATAAAACTGGAAGAAAACTCTCTATACCAAATTAACCATTGTTTCATGAAGCAGAGACAGCCATGTTAGTAGTTAGGTTAGAGAATCCTTTCACATGCCTAAATTGTCTTTTTGAAATGGGCATTTTTTATGAAATGAACATGTTTTGGAGATGCTCTATTTACAAGATCATTTACTTGGAAATAGACAGCTTTTATTTCCCCACACTTCCTAATTAATAGCAATGTTGGGGGGATATGATTTAATTTGGTAAATTCTTAAATTGCATTGTTTTGCTTTCGAGCCATATTGAGTTGAAAAATCCAGATGAAGATAGAATGCAATAGTCATGAGTATTTGTGGTAAAGCATGGAGGGCTGCAATATGACAGTTTTGGGGAAGAACTGTGTAAATTCATACTGCTCTGTTTATGTTACTTATTTTATTATAGGCATTTTTAAACTGCTTTAATTGTGTTAGCAGCCTAAAGAGCTTAATTATAGGACCAGTATAAAGTATATAAATACACACACACATACACACACACACACACACAGAGGAGGGGGAAAGAGAGAGAGAGGTACGAGTCTTCACATGGTTTGACCCCAAACTAATCACAGAATGAATACATGTATATTTATATTCCAGTGCTTCCTAAGTGCTTGGTTGCTAAGATATGTTCATGTATTCATGTGCTGTGTTTGTAAAGCTCTTAATTTCCATTAGCATTATAAAAAGCTCAGTTCTTCGGCAAATCAGAAGAAGATGAATGGCACAAATCAATACCATACCATTCAAAACAACTAATATCACCCATTTATTACTATAATGCTCACTAATATCATTAGCCCTAAGGTGCCATCAACAATTTCAATGTTGCTTAATCCAGATGCATAATCTTCAAAACCAGTTTACTTAAACTCTTCTAGGAATATCTCTTGCCGGTAAGAAATTTCAGCTTTCCAAAGTATTTTTATAACTGGTTTAGAACTCAAGCTTACAGAGTTAATAAACATTACACAGAATTTTAATTGCAATTTATAAATAGCGTCCTTCCAGTTGTGTCGTTTGGACTGTTTAAAATAACCATCTAGTGTTTAAATTATAGAAATGAGGATACTATTAAACAGGGATTCACATTACAGTATGTATACTGTACATATGTTTATGTTACAACACACAACATATTGAATTATGAAACCCGTCTGTTCGTTATCAAGTGTGCACGTTATTTGTGCATTGTGTCTGCACTCCGATTGGTCGTTTGGCAAAAAAGTCTCGAGTTCATCTGTTTACATAGGTGTTTACCTCTCGTCTTAAGCCACCCGCTTGGGTATTTATGAATACTTAATTATAATTTATATTATCATTTATTTTAAGTATTCATGTCAAAAATATTATTTATTTATATTTAATTATATATTAATATTATTATATAATTCAGTACATCCATCATGTGTTGTAATGGACGTGCTAAACGTATTGGTCTAGCTGACGATTTTAATTGGGACTTATTTTGGGGGTAGGGCTTATATTACGAGCATCCTGAAAAATCATGCTAGGGCTTATTTTCCGGTTGGGTCTTATTTTCAGGGAAACATGGTATTTTAAATTCATACTTGTCTTGCAAACATTTTGTTATTTTTATTTATAACTCTTTTTTAATCTTATAAAAAAACTTTTAGCATATTTTTTGTTGACTTCACTGGATATTAGATGAAAACATTTAGGTTATGCCCTTAAAAACTAAATAAATATCTCTGTTGCAGCATATAGCCTATTAATGCATAGATCATGGATATTTGAATGCAGGAACAGAGATTTAATTTGAGTTTTTTATTGATGCCATTTTGAATATGTATCTGTTTCCTTCCCTCCTTCCTTCCTCCCTCCCTCCCTCCCTCCCTTCCTATTTATTTCACATTTATTGTAGTAATTATATAGTCTCCTCATTCAATCTTCTCTAATGTGTCTTTCTTTGACACATTCATTTCCTAAAAACACTATTATATGTGATGATTACTCTTTTAATTACTTCCTTAATTAGATCAAAACTGTCTTTTTTAAGCCATAAATGTATGAAAAGGAATTATATATCAACTGTTATTGATGTAACACACTGGTAAAGATGCATGACATCACACACTATAATTTCTGTGTTTCATACCATTGTTTCAGAGCAGTTTGTCATCTTTTCATTCCTGAACAAGCACTTTATGATTCTTTCTAGAAAGTCTTGATTTTGATTGATTTGCAGAGGTTTTCCCCCACATCATCCTGCCTGCTAAAGAACCTCCTGTAATAGCTGTGGCACACCAGAGCATGTGTATTGAAGCATGTTACAATATGTTGCAAAGGGCTATAAAGGGACTCAGTTGGGTTCTCAGCTGAACTCTCAACATATGACAATGAGACTGGAAAGACATCCCGTTTTGTCCATGGTATAGCCATGAGCAACTTGTCTTCTGTCAGCCATCTCTGCTGTGCCATTATAAGAATATAGTCTCTCAAGAGTCATTCATGGAACACTTTTGAATTTATGTTCTAACGCTGTAGAAAGGATGTAACTCTACTAATATATAAAGAGAGGGGGAGCAAGATGTAAACCCAGAAAGTTCAGGATACATTCAGAGGAAATTGCAACTGGCATTGCTGAGAAAGTCTTTAGCATTATGTAAATTTGAAACCAAATAACAGTGATGTGCATATATGGCAATTATTTTATATAGAACAAGAAAGTGAATCTTATGATTGTTCAGATGTTTGTTTCATTGAACATCTAGCTGGCACAAGCAGCATGGCTGATGACGAAAGAAGTTAGCTGTTTCAAATATACCTGGTGGTAGTCTATAGTCACCTTAACTTCATTGGTTGAGACCTATCATCATCTCAGCCCCTGCCTCTCCACATTTATCATCAATTAGATAATCAGTCCAGAGTTTCCTTGCCACCTGCAATTCTGTTCTCCTATATTCACTGCCAGTCAGTTCCTTTGATATCATACATAATTTTGAATTAGATTTTTGATGCAAATTGTAGGCTGAGAAGACTTAATAATGAAGAGGATGAGTAATTACCCAAATACAATTATAATCATTAATCTTATGCTCCAAAGAAGTTGAAATCCCATGCTCTAAAGATAAAAAGCAGGCAAAAATTAATTGAGTGGTCTTCATATTTTTCAATTTTTGATTAAATGGTCTATTAAATGGTTGCAAAATATATTTGAAACACTGAGTTA